GCTCTCACTTGCAGAGCATAAAGCCGCACGGCTTCAAGTCTTCAGGACTGTCGATCTCGTCTGAGTTTTGGTTGTTTCGTTCTGTTCCGATCCACCTCTTGCGTCCCGCGCCGGCTGGGGTCATGCGATACCATAGTACCCGCAAAGTCGATCGTCACTATTTTCCAGATAGGTTCGACGAGAGGAGTACACGCCCAGAAAGCCAAGGTGATGAGCTGATTGAGTGGCGAGAGACGCTGTAGCTATGTAAGCACAGCCTTGGGCGGGTGGGTAGATAGCAAAGCGTTGTTGTGTTGCTGGCAGAACGTTGTAGACGTCAGTCAAGGTTTGGACTTCACTTACCTGCTCGGTGCGAGAAACTCGTAGAGGACCCATCAATCAATCAGTCAGTCAGTCAGCAAGCGTGCGTCAGAAGGCGATCGTGGAGAATGGAGACTTATGACATGATCTGTTTAACTCGCTACAAATGCTTGGACCTGTACGAGCACCACGAGGTACAGAGTCCTTACTTCAGGTACTTAGTACAAGCATACTTTTTGTTCATCGACCCGCCCTGTACGCACGCACGCACGCACGGACGGGCTGGCGGGTGGGGTGGATGCGTGGGTTTAGTGGTGAAGCGGATATACGTTTCCACTACCGAGTACTTCTACTTGAAGCAAGCCCCTTGGGCACGCAAGGCCAGAGGCAAAGGCAGAGGGGGGCAGATATATTACCCGAGTCCTCAATCCTCAATCCTCAATCCTCAGTCATCAGTCATCAGTCGTAATAGTCAATCCCTAATTCCAAATTCCCCGGATTCTCGGGTTGTCGATTCCCGAATCAGCCAACGAGATGGAAGATGATTCACGCTCGCATGTTTGTCGACAAAGGGCAAAGGATACAGGGACAAAAGGGGCAGTGATGTGCACTTTGTACCTGCTAGGCATAGTATGGAGTATTCAGGAGCCTTGGGATACAACGTAATTGTGATTGCGACTGCGACTGCGACTGCGATTTGGTAGAGACGATATGATTGATTAACCAGCTGACTAGCTAATTAATGCGTACATTGACCAAGTCCAGCGAGCCGGGTGTCTGAACCCAGGATTCCTCGGACCCTGTCTGTCAACAACACCTCGTACTAGCACTGCCTCCCAGATATCCCAAGCAAGACACAGCTGAAGAACCAGGTTTGAGGTCCGGAGAAGACACCTTGCGGGGCGGGGTTCATGATACGGAAACGAGTGATTGAATAGCGTTGGTGGCGTGGTGGCAAATACATAGAAGATGAATACTTTGGGGGACGCAGACAAAACTCCGGTGAACGAACAATTCACAAACAGCGGTTTCGTAGCCAATACCCAGCGTACCGTGTCATCGTCCCATCCTCTTGGACACAGGAACTTCTGGTATTCTCTCTTTCTTTCACTTGTGATCTCCCTTGATCTTGTGGTACAAGTCACTGGCGAGAGAGGTACTTGGCCTGCGCTGCTCCGACATTCTCCGCCCACCGGTCGCCTCGAGGCCAAATATGCTGTCCTTTCGAGTCACGTCGCTGGCGACGGCCACGCTGCCCTTTCTGGCGTTGGCCGTGGCGGCGCCTCCCTCGGCCACCGCGACGCTGGATCGGCGATGTGCGCCATCGGCTGCTGCTGTTGCTGCAACGTTCTGCACTGCCTGCGCAGCCGCCGCGGCGTGTTCGTCAAGAACTGCTTGGGAGGCTCGTCGGTCCGTCTCCATGGCGTTGGAGGCCGCACTGTGACGTCGGTAGAATCCGCTGTGCCGGCGCAGGAACTCGTCGTACGTAGGATTGGCCTTGTATCCCGACCCGCCTGTGAGGGCGTGCGGCATGGTGAAGGCGCCAGACATTCTGTGTGAGGTAAGGAAACCTTAACCTGAATAGAGTCCTGAACTGTGGTAGTGTGGTGGTGTCTGCCCTGGCACGGTTACATACACCCGCTGGCTAGATTGCGAACCGGGGTATAGTGCTTACCAGGGGCTGCGAGGTGGGTAGAATATGCACTCAGTGCAGCGTCCACCGAGATAGGGTGATCCCACTACCGTTTCCGGGATCGCGAAAGTGGAACCTCCTGGCTCTTCCTCGATCTAGTCGTATGCTCTGGGCACACCTGAATAGGGAGCCTCGCTTCTCGGGTGGCGAAAAATTGATCGCTGGTGGTCGGGCAGGTCCTATGTGGACCTGAGAGACACGAGTCAAATGGAGTTCTAGTAATGCAACCCACAGTCAACCTCCAGTGTGCGAGGCAATGCTTGAGGTATGCTTCTGTGGCTTTGCTGCTGTACAATGACGTTGGCTTGTGAGCATCGGTTGCACACCAGAAATGTCCCACCACGATGAGCTTGCAGGTGGAGGTGGGGTCCTGCTGCACCGAGAAAGACGAATCTTATCAGGAAGATGATAGGCTGCGAGGTGTTAGATGGTTTCAAGAAGCTGTGAGTATGTAATCTTTTCTTGAGGGAGCTGAGTCAGGAAGAGTAACTGACAAGCAAATTTGCCTCCAACGCTTCGAACAGCTTGCGGAGGATCTGGACCGTGAGTTTGTCAATGTCTCGCTTGGATAAAACGGCAAAGGTCAGTCAGTTCTGTTAAATGTGTTGGGAACTCGGAAGGAGAAACGGGTGCGCGATGGGTAGCTTTGGACGAAGAGAGGAAGTAGACGATTTCCCGATCGGGACTTGTAATCCTCAAATCAAAAGTGTGATGCGAGAAAGGGAAAACAGAATTGATCAGAAAAGCCCAAGGACCAGAGAGTCGTTATATGATAGTTTGCTCAACGACAACGACTTGTCGCTTGTGAATGCCATGGCATATTCTTCAGGGACTTTGTGTCGTCAATTCTAAACTCTCGATCCTACCAGGTGTATGCTTTGGCTCGATATATGCCAAACCCCGCATTTTTTGAGCCGACTTGAGCGAATCAGCAGCATATCCTGGTCTCGGAGAAACAGTTGTTCCAAAACGGAGGAGAATGGGTGGTGCGCTGGATTTCTCGGGGAAAGGTACGCATTGTGTCTGCGGGTGTGTGATAGGATTGACCAACGGACTGGCTGGCTGGCTGGCTAGCTGGTGGCTAGCTGATTGATCAAGTCCAAGTACTTGTCAGAACATCATAGCCTGGTCCAGCCTGTATGGGCTGAAGCTGAATCATACTGCTGTGAGGAGATATGTATCTCTCGTCTCCCTTTCGATTTGTTCGGCCATAGGAGTCTCCATACTGCTCTCACCTCTTGTCAGTCAAGTACCTCTATCCAACAACTGTTCAGCAGCGGAATGGGTTCTCGCCACATGGTATTGGCATGCGGGCGCAATGGCATATACCGAGTACTCGTATTGAGAGGGAACTTGTATCAGGGAAGTGAATGGGTAAGACTTAAAACTGAATCGGCCCGATTTAGAAACCCTGGCAGCCCTTTGGTGGCCCTAGTCGAGGAAGGCGATTCGTCATGTGACAGTTTATGGAATATCATTGTTCCGCTACGCTTGGCATATAAGCTATCCTCTTCCATGCTCTTCCAAACTCCACAAAAGTTGACGACACGATTGCGCCACCACCACGAGACCATTTGCTGTTTGAACCTCGGATGTTGCACGACCTCCCTGCCAATTGCTTCACATCGATACATCCAGGCTTTATGAGTGGTTCGACTTTCGTGTTTTGTGCTGGTTTCATGCAAGGCTCATAACACTCCCAAGTCTCCCGATCCGCGCGGGCCTTGCTATTTCAAATTCTTGACCCCGCTGACGTCTAGTGCGCATATTTCTGCATAAAGCCAGGACGAATTGCGCTTTCGAGTTAGAGCCTCCGTCACTAAATTGTCGGTTTTATGCCAGGTCCGCGGCAACTGTTTTCAACCTCGTCTCTATTCCAAATCCTTGTCCACGCCGGCTCCAAACCTGTTCATTTCCCTCTTACTGCTTGCACAAGAAGCGGCCTTCCGAAGGAACATCCCTTAAATTTAACATCTCCCGCGCAGTTTACGATTGTCTCGACTCGTCACATCAGCATCCTCCGTCGCAGGAACAGCGCAGGCGTCGTCGACAGGTGGCACCAAATCCGATCTCTTGCGAACACCCCTCCTCAGTCATCACCCCCTCCGCACGTTTCCGCTGCGCCCGCTATGGCTTCCGCAACGACCTTCTTCGACTTCACCCCCAAGGATAAAACCAACCAAGACTACCCGCTCGAGCAACACAAGGGCAAAGTGGTGTTGGCGGTCAATACGGCCTCCAAGTGCGGCTTCACACCCCAGTTTAAAGGCCTCGAGGAGCTGTGGAAGAAGATTTCAGAGAAATATCCCGACCAGTTCGTTATCATTGGGTTTCCATGCAACCAGTTTGGCGGGCAGGACCCGGGGTCCAACGACCAGATCCAGGAGTTCTGCCAACTCAACTACGGCGTCACCTTCCCCGTGCTGGGAAAGACTGACGTCAACGGTGACAAGGCCGAGCCAGTCTGGGAGTGGATGAAGTCCGAGAAACCCGGTCTTCTCGGCCTCAAGCGTGTCAAGTGGAACTTTGAAAAGTTCCTCATCGGCCGCGATGGGAAAGTCGTCCATCGGTGGGGTTCCATCACCAAACCCGAGACTATTGAGAAGGAGATCATTGCGGAGATTGAGAAGGGGAATAAGTCCTGAGTGAAGGAAGATCTTGGTACAGGAGGCTAGAATGACCGTATATGAAGACTCAGGTGAAAGTGGAGGAAGTGATCGGTGATAGTGCTGCGATAATGCTGCAGTGTTGGCTGTCGAGGTGGAATTGGTGGTGTAACGAATGCTGAAAGAGAGCGGTTGCTCAAGAAACTGATGATACCCAGGCGTCGAGCTTACCAACAAGCGCTAAATGATTATGAACATGCAAATGCCATTCATTCATTGTTCATTTTTCGTTTCGATTTTCGGACTTCATCTGAGAGAAAAACGCAACCCAAGGCGCCGCGCCATGTCCCTTTTTTTAACGCCAAACGCGCAAAATACCCTCCCATTTTATTGACCTGGTGTTACCGTCCCACGGGCGACACGTCTCGACTCCGTCCTCTCTCGACGTCAGCCTCGAAGGGATTCTCCGTTTGCGGTCTCAGTGCCTGTCCCGTCGTCGTTGTTGTTCCAGAGTCCTGCGCCTCAAAATGTTTATAAGCTTGATCCCTCGGGTAGGTGTTCTCGACCAGCTCCAAGTCGCCGTTGTCGTCGTCGATCTCGCGGTTCTTTTCGGCCTCTTGGGCGTGTTGAAGGCGGCGTTTGCGACGGACGACGATGAAGAGGATGACGCCGAGGACGGCGAAGAGGCTGTTACACGGAAATTTGTGGTTAGCGAAAACATACTATGCCAGGCAGGAAAAACACAAGGGATTGGATACGCATTGAGTTGGGTTCCTTCCCCCACCCCTTGGGCTCGAATCACTGACACAAGGGTGCTGGTGACACCGAGTTCAAGACACATACCATAGACCGATGATCAAGGGCACCCCCGTCGTCAGAAACGGGCTCACGTATTTCTCGCACACATCGACGTCCGGGTTCGGGTTGACGCATTTGTCTCTCTTGAATAATGACCGCCACATCGTTTCTTCTCCTTTGACCCCCGGTTTCCCCCTTTTCTATTCCTTTCCTTGTTTTTCTCCTCGACTTGGGTGTTGTTTCTTTGATGCGCTGTCGTTTTTATTTCACAGTTGTTTTTCCAAGACTTCGTTGCGTGGAGAGGTTGGTCGGGGTGGCTGGCTGGCCGGTTGATTGACTGATTGATTTGTTTGTTTACTTTTGTTTTGTTACCCTGGCTGCGCCTGGTGCGGGAATACTTCGGCCGCGGTGGTTGAGACTTTTGGGTTCTGTTGTGGGAAGGAGAGAAAGAGAGTAGACCTGTAGATGGGATGTCGTACTCGTAATGTTTTGTTCCGTGGGTAGAATTAGAAGAAGTGGTGCATTGAGCGAAAGAACCGGCATACATACGAGTAACCTCGTTAGAGTACCAGCAGCGCAGTCCAGCCGCTCTCTAGACAACCAACCAACCAACCAAACCCCCCTCCCTGCCTCACCCTGCGCCCTCACCGGCCTCCAAACTCTGGAACGCGGGGACGAAACTTAATCTTGAAACAACCAAATCAAATCAGGGGGAAGCGGTTCCTCCCTTTACTATTCCGTAGTACGGAGACCTTGTTTGTATGGAGGTACCCCGTCCTCACGCGGCCGTTTGTTCCCTTTTTCTCCGTGTTCATGCGCCCCTCTGATATGTTCCGATGCACATAGATACACATACCTCGTACTGTTGGTACATAAGTGAACAATAATGTCGGGTACAAGTCCAAGGAACCGGCCCCCGAACCAAGAAAAAGAGGAGACAAAATCCTCCTCATCGCCCCGGCGTGTGTCAGGGTCAGGTCCAAGGGGTCTCCAAGACCGCAGCCTCTCCTGAGTAATTTCCCGCAGGCCGTGTTTTGAGATGCCGCCCAGACCCTATCCCCCAAGCTATCCTGGTGTGCGCGGCGTCTCAGGTTGATTTCGTAACGAGGGCAAGAAGGTTATTGATTAATTATTATTGCCTTGTGTTTGCCTACCTTGCTACTACCGTCTCTTGAGTATCTGAGCACCGTCTGATCCTGTTGGATGAAGCACTCACTGCTAGCTCTCACCAGCTGACCAACTTTTATATTAAGAAAGCACTTGTCCATTATATATCCCTATCTGTTCAAAGGATGGACCAACGTTATGCTTAGCTGCTCCAAAATCCCTCACGCCATGATGCGATGCCTATGGCTTCTATTAGCCGAGTGTCGTCGAACTCGTCTTCACAACGGTTCATGCCTTGCTCTGGTTGCTCCCATGAGACATCTGAAGAACCCTTCAGCCAGAGCGCTCGTCGTTCGTAAAGACTACCAGAATATCCCGTTACACCCGTAACAGCCTCATCCAGAAAGCTTTTTGCACCAATGAGCTTTCGCTTGCCAATACCCTCGATTCCATCAATGCATTATCGCTCCAACCTAACCAAGCCAGATGATGGGTGGCGTGGTCTAGATAGTATTTTGTCTCGTCGACCGATGGGGAATGTCCTCCAGATAGTCATCAGTAAAGTCTTCGTCTCGTCGGCCTCTTGTGCCGAGCCTTGCGGCCTCGAGCATCTCCGCTGCGTCGTCCATTTCGATAGATTCTCGGATCGACTCGCTCAGCGCAGAGTCGTCCATGCTCTCCCTCGACATGAAACTGTCGCCCATCTCGTTGTCGGACGCCACCTCTGCCTCGTCTTCCTCGTCATCCAAGTCTTCATCCTCTTCGTCCTCCTCTTCTGAATCTGTCGGTTGAAAGTCATCCAGGTCCTGCGGCGTATCTCGCCAGTAGGTAAAATCGGTATAGTCTTCTCCTCCTTCTCTAACCAGAGTCGACACGGGCGGGAAGAAATGGTCAACCAGCTCTCGCATCGACACATAGCTGCTCCGGTATTTGTTGAGTGTCAACAAATCGAGTGACACTTCTGCATTGGTGTTGATCGTGAAGATTCGAGTCGAAGGGATGTTGACACTGCGATAACTCAGTGCATCCGTGAAACGATTGCCAAACCCAGCATAGAACGGGTTGGTCTTGCCGGGGAACAAGTTGAGGATGTCTCGGAGACAGGCCATTTTGAAAACTTCGGGCTTCCGCAAGTAGATTTCTCGCCGTAATGCCGCAATCGTACGATCAGGGCTCATGATAACCGGGCCGCGAGGAAGTTTCCAGCCATCTTGTACGATACCGTTGAGATAGGTTCGGGTTGTGTCGGCTTGTCCAACAGACCGACTCGTCAAGTAGAACATGTTGTAGCCATTGGCGACAATATCCGAGTACAATTTCGCCACACCAACGTGCGTCCAGTCACGTCCGACCATATTTAGCAGATGACCCAATGCATCTGATTTGGTGATCGTGCCGTCAATATCTGATATAACAATCGGGACATCACAGGTCCAGTAAAACATGTAAGCTATACATGTAGCGCGATTAACGGTGAATGACATTTGATTTTCGCCCCGTTTTAGATTCAATGATTTCAATTGATCGCTTGTCAGCCGGAGCGTTTTCGCAAAGTTTCGAGCCTGTTCCCCTGACGTGCGAGACGACTGGATTTCTTCGGACTGTGCCCTCTGATGTCCAGAGATTTTCGCTGTAAGCTGTGGCGACGCGCTGCGGTCGCTGTCGCTGTGATAGCCGGGATCAGAGATGTTGTCCGATGAAAGCGAGGTAGCTGACTCAAGACTCTGAGATGCCCATTTTCGAGCGGCCGCATCTCGGGCTTCTTCGCTGCTATATATCCACAAATTCCCGTGCTCGTCGGTTCCAATCAAAGACCCAATGTCGTAGTTGCCCTCCAATTCTTCCGAGAGGATTTTCCGGGCCACGGCTTCTGCTCGCAAAGCTTCAGGTTCACTTGTCTTGTAGCCTGTCATGTCAAGCATAAGATCTCCAGACTCGGTGACTTGGGATCGGATATTGGAAGAAGAGAGTTTCTTGGAGAGGGTCAATGCTCGGTCATAGGCTTGTTTCGGTCTCAGGGCGGGAGGACTTGCGGAGGCTTTGGGAGTAGTGGTCCCATCCAGCCCAAACTTGGGAGAAGGAGGGATGCCGTTGTTGTGAAAAGCCTCACTAACTGAATCCAATTCCTGTCGAGTAGCGATGGGAAGGACTTCTTCGGAGGCTGCACGCCCAAGGGAAGCAGGAGCGGTGATAGTCGTATCGGATAGAGGCGTTCCAGTTGGATCTGTGTGTATGGTACCAAGATCAATTTCTTCGCTCATGTTCGTCCCCTCTCGCCTTAGTACAGGAATAGGAGCTGAACTTGAGATTGGCGGGGTGTCGCGACCCTTTGCAACCTCTGTGATGTCCAAGTAGGAGGGTTCGGAAAGACCAGGAGAAGGAGGTCTGTCTGAAGCATTTATAGGTGGACTGCTGGCGGGAGATATTAAAGGAGACGTCTGTAACCCTTCGGGAATTTCACTCGAGGTCTCAAAGACAAAGAAGGCTTCACCTCCATCCCCGAGTTTCATGGCGTACGGTTGGGCGACTCCATTCACTTTGAATTCGACCTTCTTGTCCGAAGGCCGCAGTAAAGAAAACTTGCCAAAGCGGACATGGAAAGGGGAACAGGCCAGAGAACCATCGGGCTGTTCAATCACAATAACATCGATGGCTCCGGACAAAGTTGCCGGATTGATGGAGTTCCATGTCTTAGAGACACCGCTTCCCAGACTCCGAACATACTGCATCGTGAGGGATATAGACAACTTTGAGAGGTTGGCCTAGGTGTTGAGTGATATGACGAAGATATGAAGTCTCCGGAATCAGCACATGACGGTTGGGAGCCTGATGGGGGGAAGCTCGGAACGGGAAATGGGGAATGCTCGACAACGCCAAAAAAGACAATGTTCTTTTCACAATTCGCAGTCCAGAAGCATCAGAGGGTGTTATACAGAGAATTTCTAAGAAGACATCAAGGCAAAAGGAGAGAAACAAAGGGTCGGAAGAACGAGAAGAAGTCGGATGGGGGTGACATATGAAGGATGGGGAAGAGGATGAGGAAATCGGGTCATTCAGCATGATGCATGACAGCATTTTTGTCGGGAACGGCACTAGTCTACTTTAGGAAATCTGCTGATCATCTCTATTTTCCCCAGATTTTCCTGTCCGCGACAAGCGACTGTAGTGATTCATATCAATTGTATCTCACTGGCCCCTGCTCACACTCTCAGAAACAACCCAAAGGAGTCAAGAAGATATTATACCAGCTTCCACACTCTATTCTCTTATTATGATGCTGTTGCTTCCCTGTACAGCTGCCTAATAGTCTCCAACCTTCCTCTCTCCTGTACCTTTCAATTGTCCATCCACCAAGATGAGCTCGCCCGCAAACCCTCCTGGTCCTCTCACCCCCCCTGCAGAACCCTCCTCACAGGCGCCTCAAACCGCGCAAGCCTCCCAAGCAACAGCACAACCTCAAGTGGAAGCACTCCTCTCACAACCCCTAACCTCACTACAAGACGATGGGAGTTCAAACAGACCACGAGATCACCGCCTGATCCATCTCCTCCTTGTTTCTCACGGCATCGCAGCATATCAGCAACGCGTTCCCCTCCAACTGATGGATTTTGCCTACCGATACACCAGTTCTGTCCTGAGTGACGCCTTACACATTCAAAACGAAGCCTACGACCAAGCCGACGGAGGTGCTCAGACTAAAGGTCGAGGAGCCAAGCAGAATCAGAACAAAGGCGAAGAAGGGGACATAAGCCTGGCTGCTCTGCGCATGTCAATAGGGTCGAGAATGGGTCACCAGTTCCAGGGAAGTCTACCAAAGGAGTTTCTCAAACAACTAGCCGACGAGAGGAATCGAATATCACTACAGGCTCAAACGAGGGATAGTGAGAAGGCCGGGCCCATGATAGGGGGCGTCCGACTTCCTCATGAAAAATACTGCCTGACCGGTGTTGGCTGGGGTTTGAAAGATGAATGGGACAGTGACGGCGAGGAAAGCGTTGATCAACCCGAAAAAGAAGAGCGACCCGAGCCAGAGGATCTCATGCAAATGGATGACAAGGAAGGGGACGAGGACGACGAGGGCTTGGGCACAATGGAGGACGTGTTCGGTCCAGACGATGGAGGCGGTGACAAGGAGGCGGATGCCGATGGCGATGTAGACCTGTCGTAGGGCGACTCGGACACTGGGAAAGGGCATACGAATGGCATTATCAATGGTGCATGAGGGCATACGAACGGCTTTACGGAGTAATGTGATCAGATACCCTCAAGGGATTCAGCCAGTGGGTGGCAGGATAATACGGGGACCAGATTTCTGCGGGAGTGGGTTCAGGGGAGCTCGACCTGGGCGGATAGAACGTCTATATCAGCAGTCACTCCTAGGGGTTTTGTGCATAACGCTCAATCAATAGTGACAATGGGCGAACATATCACGAGAATCCGTGCCAACCATCCGGTTTTGGTCCACTGATCCGATCCCCCTACTGTGTCTGCTAGTATAATTTCGCCGATTCTACACAAAGAAGTCTTCTGAAGCATGTAGAAGAAAGAAGAAAGATGTCGATCCTCGCCCGCGAAGACACTGAGTCAGTCGTACGTATTCCTTTGTTCCTTCTAGAAAAAAAAAAACACCGTGTGTGTGTGTGTGTGACCACCGATACACACCGGCATGTCCCGACCAAGCCAAAAGGGTTTTCTGGCGCCTCGAAGGATGTGGCCGATGCATAAAATACTAGGTAAGTGGTTCGGCAATTCCGAACATTCGGGCCAAGCATACCTAGTATATAAAGAGACTCGGCGAGGCTGGACACGCAGGCACGCAGGGTAATGGATCCGCTTTCGTTTGTCCATGGTGAAGTCGAATTCCTCTTTCTTCACTGAAGGTCTGGAACTAGGGGCGAGGAGAGTCGAGAGGAGCTGGCGCCAGACAGAGACAGAGACAGAGACATGCCTCAATAATCTCAAATGACTGGCCTTTTTCCTCTTTCTTCAAAAGACACTATGTACAATATCTATTACTTTTTTGTTGCCACTCACGATAGCACCCCGAGATAATCTCGGAGCTAGATATACGATTAAGGGTCTATACTTCAGGTATACCTCCTTGTATAGTCTCACATCACTGTCTTTTTTCCCATTGTTTCAAGACGCTGGTTGGCCCAGACCGAAGAGTTCGACAATCTCATCATAATCGTATCCCGCATTGACGGCCAATTGCAGCAAGATCCTCGCTTTCCACGGATTCAAAAATCCGCTGGGGATCAGGAATGCATTGTCTGGATCGAATGGCACGAAGCCGTCGGGTGTTCGATGACTGGCGACAATGGGAGTTCCGGTCGCGTTAAAGACGGCTTCCGCCACCGCGAGGCCCGGTCTTGTCACGCCGCCCGCACCGGTGCCCGCAACCACGATACCCTTTGCGCCGTTTTGCACGGTCGAGTTGAACAGTTTCGCATCCATGTCTTGATGGGAAATAATGATATCGATCTGAGGCAACAAGTCGGTACCCGAGATGTCAAAGATCTTTCTCCTGATAGGTAGAGCTGGCTGGTAGTAGAAATAAGGCAATTGGTTGATGAAGAACCCAAGCTGGCCGGGCTCAGTACTGTGAAAGGTGTCAAGTGCATTGGCGTTGTATTTGCTGGTATAGGTTGCGCTTCCGATACGGCTAGTGTGCAACAAGCGTTAGCGACAAGAACTGATCGAGGTTGGCAAATGCCATGAAGAACGGGCGAACGAAGGGCAAGAAACGCCCTCTGCCGCCCAAAAGGAGACATGTTCGAAACTTACTCATTCAAAGTGATCATAACACCACGGCCCCTTGCACTGGGCGAAGAAGCCAGACTGACGGCCTGTAGAAGATTCAAAGGGCCATCGGCACTCAATGCTGTGGCTGGTCTCATAGCGCCCACGACCACGACCGGCTTTGTCGAGTTGACGACCAAGGACAAGAAGTAGGCGGTCTCTTCCAGAGTATCTGAGCCATGTGTGATGACGACGCCCGTGACATTATCTTTAGCGAGTTCCTTGATGACGAGAGGGGCCAACTTGAGCAAAACGGTCTGATTCAAGGTACTGCTAGGCACGTTCGATACCTGATAGCCTTGGATGTTGGAGTAGTTGAGAATCTCGGGCACGGCAGCAACAAGCTCTTGTACACCTAGCCCAACGGTCTCAACCACCGTCTCTGTGTTGCTGCTAGCCAGACTGGCGATGGTTCCTCCCGTGGCGAAGATGGTAATGTTTGGAAGGGACGCATTGTACGGGCTTTGGACGTCTTGCCGTGAGTAGAGACTGTGTAACGAGGGGATGACAGGCGAAGCCGCAGCCGCGACAGCCAATCCGGCGACAAGCACAGCCGACAGCATACTTGCGATTGCGACTAGTGACTAAGTGATTGGCTTGCAGCAGGTCAAGGATGCGTATTATGAGTCGTGTGGAGTCAAGTGAGATCGAACACTGACTGACGAGGCTGGTTCGTGCTTGAAGGTCGTAAAGGAGCCAGTCATCGTCACATCAGGTTGTGCTCACCTTCTTAAATACCTTTTTCCAGGCTCGAAAAGCCGTCTAAGTTCCTCTCCGTCCGTTTTACTGCTTGGATTCATCCGTCCCAAGCTCTCGCATTATCTCGACGATGTAGCAATCCGCTATGGTCCGGCCAAAGTCCGTGGACGGCTGTACCGAAAACCCAGGAGAAACGCGGTCCCATACGTCCAACAAGACTACTTGTACCGAGTATACTTGTCCCAAACGAGATCCAGGAACAGGAACCATTGGGAATATCCACTGAAGAAAGGATATTCGGCTCGTTGTTTACCAGCCAAGGCTCGCCATGCTGCAGCCTTACTGGTCGGCGCCTATGCGATGGACTTGTCCGATACCGACTAGCAAGGCCACGAGCCAAGCACGGTCTAGAGCATGCAGGAACGTCATTTGGAGCTGAACGAATAAACGCAAGTACAACGGCACGGGGAGAATAGTATAGTGGTACAAGTAGTAGCCTGATGATAAGAGGTGCGGACGGCAAGGTATCTCTGGAGAGGAGTCGCAATGCCACGATGCCAGGGCTTGGCGCCAAGACGTACATGCGAGTATTACACATAGATATATGTCTCGATGTCTTGACACTCTCCACAGTTACAAAGAATACTATGGTACTTCCCTGTTCTACACATATCACACCCTTCTATTCCACAATGTACTAAACAAGGTAGTATTTCTCCGTGAATCACTCAGATGGTCAAAATGGCCAGGACTACGGACTACTCCGAGCCCTTATCCGGCTCGTCCAACGACTCGTACTCACCAAGCCGTGGAAGCTTAACAATATACAGAAGGCTGGTAGAGGAATGTGTTGCAGTGATTGCGATAACGGAGGAAGGCAGCTTTTGCCAGTCATCTGGACATGTCAAGCGCTGTTTGAACACAGCGGACATCAAGAGACTACCACTATGTCATCGCGTTAACCGGAGGATGAGGTTGTTGATCTACGCCAGCACTAATCGTCCTGAACTCCAATTCCGCCTGGTTGTTAACTAGCATGATGTGGAAGTCATGGATGGCGGCGCATCTATGACCTGACGAAGACTTTCCTTCCACCAAGTTGACGCTCGGAGCTGAAGAAGTCTTGGAGGAAGGTGCTCGCGACATCGATTCCTCGTGAATGAGTGACGTTGGTGACATTGAAGTGGATTCCATGTTCGGTGCCATTGTGCGATATCGGCACGACTACAAAATGACCGCCATTGCTCGTTTTCCAGGAATCATTCTGCGAGGGCACCTGCTAGGTTGAAGCTTGCTTACTAGAGACATTAGCACTCATAAAACTGGACGACGGGTGATGTCGAGATGCGTTTTGAGACAGTGGAAAAAGGATCATGTTTCAATTGTGTGTACCCGTTGATGGTTGAGAGCTGGGACTCTCCACGAATCTTTGAAAAGACCAAATTGAGATCGCGGTAGGTAGCGATGTATCGTTCGATTGTTATCATTATTTGTTTTGGAGACGTATTGCTCTGCGCCACGGACTTCATTGGCTTCAACATGTGCTCATCTGGTGTAACCATTCGCCTCAGCCTCAGCCCGCAGTTCGCCCGTTGTATCCTTTCTGCTTGATCATAGTCGTGCAAGGAAATGCACCACGCTCGAAAAATATAAAAGGACGGTGGAGGCGAGAGAGTATCTCGCAGCAAGCAGCCTGGGACTCGGATTCGGCATCGTTTTGTACTCTATGAGGGAAAGCCGCAAGGGCGGGGGGTTCAAGATGGATGGTACGAATAGCCAGAAGCCGATTCCGAAGATCCAAAGAGGTCTTCACCAAGTGTCGTTAGTTTTAGATCCTGGTGTTAGAAGAACCACACGCAGCAGAGATGTAGGACCAATGGGACGGTCGATCGAAGGGTGATTTGAAAGGTGAGTAGAGGTGAGAGAAGGAGCCAGCCACAAGTGTACCTCGTGCTTGCTGATAGTTGCTCACGTGATGCCGCCGAGGCTTTTACACCCCCAGAGTTTGCGGGCGTCGACAAGTCGCTGTGGCTGTCGCCGACTTCTCCGCTCGTCCACTCATTTCAAAGTTAATTACATGGCTTTCCGTAATTTATAGGATATATTCTTGCCTATATCTGTCGAGCGCATGCCTGCCATCCCTACCTTGTGGATGGACTCATCTAAATGGCACCAGGAGCCATTAGATTGGGCTTCTCACGCCTACCAACTGCTTGCCCCTCAAATTAACGTCAAAGGTCGCATGGCTCTACTTTTGCTGCTCGCCGTCATCTGGGCTTTCTCATGGTAGGCCTTGCTTGGATCTTTTGTCGCGATCACCGCTAATCTTGTAGGCTGCTATGGCGCGCGTATCAGGTCCTCACTACACCGAACGAGATTCTGGTAGAGAAACTCGGCCTGGACATTCCCCCCACTCCGCTCCTCATCCTCGAAGAAATATCCCCAACCGAAGTCTATGTGACGTGGAAACATGCGGAGCCATCTTCTTCCATTCAAGAGCACTACGTGGAGCTCAATGGCGTCCTTATTGGGACCACCAAGAAGAGTGAGATGGGTGCTATCATATCTGGCCTTCGCCCTGGGACCAAATACGCCATCCGCGTCTTCTGTGTCAGTACTGGCACCTTCCAGACTCCGAGCGCCCCTTTTCATGTGCGCACGCCTCATCTACCAGCGGGCAAGGAGGCTCCCGAATCAGTCCCCGCGGTGAGAGGGGTGTCGGTGCGAAATGCTCCCACTGCCACCCCTTTAGCTGCGCCCTCCATGACTCGCGATCTTAGCGGAGGACAGCCCATGGGTAGAAGAGGGACCACCGGTCGTAGACCTTCCCCGGCTGGTCATGGCACTGATGCACAGGCTCAAGATGCAGGATCGAGAGTTGAAGACGAAGAGGTGGACGGTGATCTCGCGGAGTTGTCACAGCGGTTCCAAAAAGTTCAACAAGACATTGAGGCTGTTGAGGCTCAGATACAAGAGGAGGACAGAGAATTTGAAGCTGCTATGAAGGAACTGGAAGCGCGACGTGACGAGTTGAAACAGAGTCTCAAAGAGCGGGATGAAGCCAGCAGCGACCTGCGTAAGCAGGTCCACAAGGCAGAGACACTCAGTCGCACGGCTCAAAACGAAAAGACCAAGAAAGAACGCTTGTTGCAGCAAAAGGAAAACCAGCGCAGGAAGAGGAAGGACGACATTTCGAGGTGGGAGGAGGCCACCGCTGCCATGAAGGAGGAAATTGCGGGCATTGAGAAACAGAAAGCTGCAATCGAACGCAGGACTCAGTCTGAGCTCCGAGAAATGCGCAGGAAAATCGAAGAGGAACAAAAGGAGGTCGCCATGCTGGAGGATGACAACAAGGAGAAAGCACTGCAGATCAAAGCGCTGGAAGAGGAACGCCAATTGCAGAACGTGGACGAGGAGACGGAAGAATCTAGAGAAGCCGACCGTCTCGACCGTGAGCGCGATATGAGATGGCGGGCAAGATACGAAGGCTTGCAGCAAACCTTCACCCGGCTATGGAACGACCTGCAATTGGCCAATCAGCAAGTCAACTACACCAGGGAACAAATTAATCAACTCGAGGCAAGACGGGCAAATTCCATGGCATTCGCGCCTATTGCGCCGTTGGATCTGGATGCCATTCGTCGTGGCATGAGACCCATGCGACGAGCGAGACCGGCGGGCTCGTTGGGGAGCAGTATCTCCTCGCCGCGAGGCCCGTTTGTTGGACCTGAACCTTTCCCGGCGGGATTGCAGTATACCTCTGCTCCCACCTCATCTCCCACAGCAGCTGTTCCAAGTTATTTCAACCCGCAGAATGGGATGACACTGGCGATGCCTGTGGAGACGACAGCCTCAACTCACGACGAACTTGACGCCATATCTTCGATCCCCATGAGTCCTCGCGCAGACTCACTCTTGCCAGCTGATCTGCTTGGTGACGAGTCTGCCGACGAGCTCCCCGACACCGAAGTTCCGCGGCGGAGAGAAAAATCCGAGTCAGGAATGACTCCCTTTCCCACGATAGGGTCGCCCATACTGCATGCCGATAGCGGCCGGACAGAATCCCCTAGTGTTGGCTCCTCGTCCGGCAGGTCGTTCTCCAGTCCCTTGCAAATTTCTGCGCCTGCCGAAGGCGATGAGAAGTCTTCAAATTCCGGAAAAAAGTCGGACGACGCACCAGAAGAAGATGAAGTGGTTCAGCAACCCAAGAAACCCAAGTACACTTCCATGTCATCCATGTTTGGGCTCAATCGTCAGCGAGGCAAGACTCTAGCTGATCAACCACCCCCTCTCGGATCTCTCAAGCCGAGTCAGAGTCAGTCCTTCCCAAGGAATGTGGAAGATTTTGATCCTCGACTAGAAACCAAAAGGCGACTAAGCTATGGCGGAAATTGGGCATTTCCAGGATCGGCTCTTTTAAACAGCAGCAGCGCCCAGGAGGAAAAAGAGCCTTCAGTTTCTCGCTTTGCTGCGACTCGGCGTGCCTTTGGATTAGGCGGCTTTGGAAAGTCGGCTGCAGCTTCGGCGAACTACGACCCGTTCGCCATGAGGTCTGCTTCCTTCGATCCAGGACTTCGAGGCGAGACTTCCTCCCCAAGGCCGTCATCCACCTACTCTTTTGACAAACTGCCACGGCCGTCGATGGAAAGTCAGTTTCGTGCGTGGAACGACAAGTCGGTGCTGCGAAATAGTCCGTTGGCCCCAGACTGGGGTTCGCTCCATTCATTTTCTCGTTCGCACTCACGGCGGCCCTCGATCGTGTACGGATCAACCAGCAATCTCTCCCTTCCACATGCAGACGAGGAAGTTGTTGAGCCAGATCGCAAACCAACACGTCCTCTACAGGCGCCCATTGGCACCCGGCCAGCATCCTCCCAGCAGTCCTCGACTCCAAAGCTGAATCCGGCGGCTCCGTCATTCACGACACTGTTTGGCAGGCGGAGCGAGAAATCCAAAGACAAGGACAAGAACAAGGCGAAAGAGTCAAAGGAGAGGGTGAACGACATGGAAGCCGCCTCGCCCCCGGAGTCTCGAAAGTCCAAGGACACCAACTCTATCGCAGCAACTGTGTCTACCCTCGAGTCTGAGACGCTCGATCGAACACAGTCCGGGGCCAGCGCTCAGTTGTCCCTTGAGAACACACCAGCGAAGCCGACGTTTATCTCCAAGATCACGCGCAAGGCAAGCAGCAATAAGTTTGGCAGCTGGAAAGACAAGGGTAGCTTGTTCTCCCGAAAGGAAGCATCTGTTCCCAACGGTGAAAACGAAGAGGAACAAGGGTCAAGCGAACACCTGGGGAGGAGTTTGGAAAGCACATCAACAACGCCCAGCGCCGAAGACAAGAAAACGAGCAGAACTAGTCTGAGCAACTGGAGCTTTATGCGCAAGAACAAGAAGGGGCTGAAGGAGGATCTGACCGCCAGCGAGATTAGTGAGAGCAGTGAGCGGTTAAGTGAGGCTGAGGAGATGGGCGAGGAGAGGGATGAGGATGAATAGGCAGAGCAGGCATACGAGGCATGAAGAGGAGGCCTTTTATACATGATTCGCATATCAGTTTAGTATTGAAGTTGGTCAAGCCGGTTCTTTGAGGGGTCGCATTATGTGCCAGTGACTCATTCTATAGTCTTTAAACACGACTCACTCACTCACTCACTCCACCATGAACCGTATTTCTTTCCCGTTTCGGATTTTGTGTTTAATTCCTCTCTTCTTGCTGTTCAAGTCGATGATGCTGAACGTGCTGAACCGATGCGCCTTTTGTCCCTTATTATTCTCCAATGGCCAATTCAAAGTTTGTCCCATCCCCGCGCTGACGTCTGGCTATCGGATCATGGGCTAATTGATGGGATTCTCGTTCTCGGTCTAGGTATGAATACGTGCGCAGCTTCGAGCGCGAGGAGACGTTGTTGCCAAACACGTGGATCGTGGTGAGGATCGATGGGAGGGGGTTTCATAAGTATGTGTTGTCTCTCTTTCTCCGTCTCTGTCTGTTTGTCGGGGCTTGTGGGATGATGGTGGAGGGGAGGGAAAGGAAAGGAAAGATGAAAAATATCAACATCAACATCGACATCGACATCGACATTGGAGGAGTCAACCCCGTCCCGTCCATTTCCAGGCCAATGTGTTTTTGAGCTCCCTCTACAAGATCTTGTCTATCCTCTTCTATTCCGTTTCCGGTTCTCTTCTTGTTGTGGGGGGAGGAGGTTCTGTCTCTCTCTCTCCATCTATCTCTCTATCCCTCCCTCAGTCTCTCCTCGCCCGGCCACGTTATCTAACCCGGATATCTGTCGAGCCAGACTCTCCACCTTCTACGACTTCCGCAAACCCAACGACCCGCGCGCGCTGCGCCTCATGAACCACGCGGCCAGCCACGTCGTGGCGTCGATGCCCGAAATCGCCGTCGCGTACGGCGTCTCGGATGAGTTCAGCTTCGTGTTCGATCGCGTCGCGACGCTGTTTGAGCGGCGGCGGGACAAGCTCGTGTCCACGGTCGTCAGCACCTTCACGGCCGCGTATGTGGCCGGGTGGGATTTGTTTTTTGGTGATGACGATCCCCAAGGGGACGATGCTGGTGCCCGTGCCCGTGCCCGTGACGGTGACGGTGCGACAGCACGGAAAAAGTTGACGATGGACATGTTGCCTACCTTTGACGGTCGGGCTGTCTGTTATCCCTCCTGGGCTAATTTGAGAGATTATCTGAGTTGGAGGCAGGTTGATTGTAAGATCAGACCATACATACACCCTTTGCTTCTCTCTCCCTCGATTATTCCATTCCCTTACCATCGCTCTCTTTTTGCTCCAACCAATTTCGTCAATCAACCCGTCTCCCCCTCTTCATGTCATACGTGTATTTACTGACCGGACAAGCAGGCCACATCAACAACCTCTACAACACGACCTTCTGGGCCCTGGTCCAGGAAGGCGGCATGACCCCCACCGCGGCCGAGGAGCTCCTCAAGGGCACCCTGGCCAGCGACAAGAACGAGATCCTGTGGTCGCGCTTTGGCATCAACTACAACAACGAGCCCGAGATGTATAGGAAGGGGAGCGTCGTGTTTCGCGAGTATCGAGTCGAAGATGTCCCGGGGTCTCAACAAAAGGGGAGAGGAACGGGAGGGGGCCAGCGACAGCAGCGGAAGCAGAAGCAGGGACAGGAAGAGAGACAAGAAGACCACCAGCGCGAGCAGCAACTAGATCGTGAGCAGGATCGAGAGCAGGCGGAGGAGGACGACGACGACGAAGACACTCAACAATCCGCGGTCCCCGAACCCGCCCTGTCCAAAACCCAAGCTGAGAGATTGCGCAAGGCGAGGAAAAAGGCCACAGTGGTCACGAGTCACGTCGACATTATCCGCGACGAATTCTGGGTTCGAAGGCCGTGGATCAGGAGTGGGAGGCTGGCATTGATAAGTGACATTGATGGGAGGTAGTGATCAAAGCACGACTTGACAGATTCCAATTGCATCCTTGAGTTGAATTCCACATCTGATAATATGGTGCACTGATAGCTAAAACCCTTTTTGTCGCCTTTCCAATCTCCGTCGTCCTCCTTCAAGACCGCCTTGCAGCAGGTCCAATATGCATGCCATCGTCTCCACTCCACCAAATACATCTTCTCCCATCCCCCTGACGACGATCGATCGGATCCATCCATCCACTCATCCAGTCATGCACGAGCCATCGACATCAACTTTGGTGATCCATTCCCGCGGACAAGGAGCCAAAACGTATGGTCTTAACACCCAAATTGTGGGTAAAAGAACACGAGGAGCAAACACCAACCATCCCTTCAGGCATCCCTTCAGGCATTCCTTCGGAGAAGGTCTGATGTATGGCTTTGAGCGTCAGAAACTCGCTGACCTTCGGCTCACTTTGTCACTTTCTCGGTGCTGCAGTTCTGGCATCGGTTATGCTGGCATTTCGGGCAATTGTTCGTTCTGATCGAAATTGGATTGTGGCCGCATCGGTGCTGTATCTCCATCATCAACAACGCCCTTTACAAATCGATCAGATTGCCTGGGTCATCCAAATGCTGCGGGTGGGCAGGCAGGCATTCTTTTCTCGGGCGGGGAGAGAAGGGGGAGGTAAATACGCATGTCCAGACAAACACTGTCACTTTCTTCTTTCCCTTTGATGGAGGACATCTGTAGATGGGGAGATTAGCAAAGATAGGTAGAGAAGCTGGATGATCACCGGCCAATTTCATTATTGAGCAGGTTCTGTGAAGCTGAATGAATGCCTGAGGAAAATGCTGAAGTCGACGAAGCGGCGATCATGCGAAAACCTCGAGATTTTTTGCATTTTTTTGCAGAGCTGTTGTGTGCATAACGGAACCCCATGCACACAGTACCCACCAAGCTCTTCCTACTCTAATTCTTCCTCTTTCTTTTACTTGTACAAGTTTCACTATATTCCTTTGCTCATTGTGCTCAGTGTTACCGTTTGGGAGCTCTCGGATCGGGCTGACGCTCTCTGCAAATGATTGGACTCGATTGGTGGAGAGAGAAGCGGTCTAGACAACAAGGCCAGCAGAAAGTTCCGTGCAGCACAGAGCGACAGGATAGGCAGGCTTGTACGAGCCAAAGGAGCAAGGAGAAGAGAGCGACGTCGCTTTAATACCACTGGAACTGAAGTGTTAGGGTGGGCATAACACAAGTGCAACCAGGTGTAATCAGTGTATTTCAAGTCTGGGGCTGTTGGAAAATGTGTAACTCGTATAGTCTGTGAAACAGGACGAGGTGTAGCCGTCCGTGTAAACGCTCCTTCGTCGTGTCGGTGAGTCCTATGGTGATCCCGCATGATGCATTTCCCGCAGTCAGGGCTGACGAGGATGAGCGGTGTAGCGGTCGCGAGGCTGGGATCAATCCGGATCTCGGACCCTTTTTCAGTTAGCCGGTCATCTCTTGCAGAATAAGTGCTCGTGGAGGAGACACAGTGTCTCACTCACATCGATAACGCAGGAGGAGGAGAAGGAGGGAAGGGGGAGGAGGCTGAAACTTTACATATATGCCACCAGAGGAAGAGACTTCCAGTGCTCTGGAATGCGAGCCATGCACTCAACTGGAGCTGTAGGTCAACTTGTGAACAGAAATGTCGCTTTGGGTAAGTGTTGTCTGTGTGTTTTTGTGGCCATGCTTGTGGGAGGAAGGTAAGAAGTCACGGATGGGTGGGACATTTGATATATAGGTCAGGTCATGGAAAGGGAGAGACATGGAAAGAAGAACCGAAACCAGGCTGCCTTGCGTCGAAGGCAACAACCTATTGGATTGGTCGCTGTGAAACTGTGAAACAGAACTAGGCAGTCATGAGAGTTCTTCGTCTGTTTGTGATGAAATTAGGTTTTGTTCCTCTATACATATATATTTCTAGAAGAAGTCGTGGAGGTGGTGGAAATGAAGTCTTGTGAAGGACGTCTCCCCGCCACCAATAGTACAATCCCTCAAGATATACCTGGGGAATCTACTGCGTTTGTCCATGTGACAAAGTCGGATGCTGCCTGTTACATATTGTTTGCCTTGCGGCTCACACGACCCAGGCGACTCATTGGTGGTGATGAGAAAAAGAAAATGACACCCTATCTGTGGTGTGGAGCCGCCAGCGGATCCTTCGAGGTCATGGGATTGGGGGTGTGAGTCGAGGAGGCACGGAGGGTAGTACTGCCCTTTCCAGGTTATGCGGCTAGCGGGTCAGGAGTGAAGAGATCTTAATGTGTATATAAACACATACACATGTTGGGTACACAGATCCGAGTATCGAATACCTCTCTGTTCGTACCTGGGGCAGATGATTCCCCCTCCATCCCGACAGAAACTTGGGGGAACTTGGCTCATATTCAGAGGCCACTCGCTCGGACGGAACAATCTGGGCTGCACAGCGTCGTCATGAAATGGTGACACCCAGGTCGAAGGAGCACCTTGCACCATTTCCGGCTTTCAGGAGTTGGCGAGACACGAGGAAAATCGATTTGATGTGACGGTTCACATGACCATGTAATATGTAGCCAGCCGCACACATAAGAGGGAAGCACGGGAGTGCGGGCAACTGCACTTTCAAATGACAACAAAAGAATCAAATTACATGGTCTCTCACAGGTCCCGTCGTTCCCACATTCTGTATAATGTGGGAACTTTGTCTCTTCCCGTAGAAACAGAGAAACACAGGGACTGTCAATGGGAAGCCAAGAAGTAAGCACCCCCCATTCTTCGGAGGAATGACACTGGAACCTCCGAAAGCCATCGGTCATAATCATCATGTACGAAGGCAAGAGGGCAGGCAATAAGTGGTCAGTCCTGACAAGGTCATTCCCACCTACACTCGAGGTACTCTGGCCACTGTACCTCGTACTCGATACGTCCTCCCCACACATTGGCGTCCCCGCGGTTCTTGAGCTTATGCCTATCGAGAATGGTCTTCGACCCAGGGACCTTAGAATTCTCGGGTTTAGGACAGCGGTCCATGATATCCCCGTCAGCCTTGTGGGTGGACAGGGCCATGGACACTGCTGTATAGCTACATCGTACTTGGTATTCCAAGTTAAAGACACTGGGGCCAACATATATAGATTCCAGTACCCAGCTCGCCGGGAGTAGAAAATGGAAGATGTACTTACTAGTAAGTTGGGAAGACTTCTTTCAAGTTACGACAAAAGTTGCGTCTCGATATCCAAGTTCGTTCACTCCCACCAGGCATAACGGTACAGTGTAGCATTGGACAGGATCAAACATGCCCGTCACACAACACCACAATGGTATAGAAGTTGTCCCTTGCTGGATCAATGGGAAACCTATCCCCTTGGATGCCAGTCGCCTGATCGAGGTCCATTCATCGGCTCAGGGGAAGCTCGTCCATTATGCCCAGGGAGCCTCCGTGGACGACGCTACAGCCGCGGTTCAGGCAGCCGCAGAAACATTCAAAACCTTCAAACGAGTGCCGCACCAGGACCGCCGGGCATTGCTTTTGAAGGTGGCAGACGTGCTCGAAAGCCGCGTCGACGAGCTTGCCCGCTACCAAATCGAAGAGACGTCCTGCCCAGAATCCTGGGCCAAATTCAACGTCATCCTCGCCGCCAGGGCCATCAGAGAAATCGCCGCGAATATCACCATCGCCTGTACGGGGGAGATGCCGCCGCCGGAGACTGCAGAGACTTTTTGTCTTGTCTACAAGCAAGCGGTGGGCCCAGTCCTGAGTATTGCCCCCTGGAACGGCAGTATCATCTTATCAGCGAGGGCACTGGCAGCTCCCCTGGCTGCTGGCTGTACGGTCGTCTTCAAAGCGTCAGAGTTGAGCCCGCGTGTCCACCATGGCGTCGTCGAAGCCTTCCTGGCCGCGGGTCTCCCAGCGGGCAGTGTGAACCAAATCCAGGCCAACCGCGAAGACGCTAGCCGCATTACCGAGACCATCATCGCACATCCAGCCATTCGCAAGGTGGAATTCATCGGTAGCGCAGCTGTCGGGCGCATTATTGGCCAGCTAGCGTCCAAGTACCTCAAACCGGTCTTGATGGAACTCGGCGGCAAGGCTCCTGCTATCGTTCTGAAGGACGCGGATCTGAAAAAGGCCGCGACACTTTGTGCCCAGGGGGCGACTATGCACCACGGCCAGATCTGCATGTCGACTGAGCGCATCATTGTCGTTCAAGACGTGGCGGATGAGTTCATCAACTGTCTGCGCGATGCAGTTGCAGGCCTCCAAGGTAACGCCGGGTTCGCCGTTACAAAAGCCATGGCGCAAAAGGCCCATAAGTTGCTCTCTGACGCCACAGATCAAGGGGCGACGTATCTGATCGGCGACAATAAGTGGCGCGGGGACAGCGGTGCTGCGCTTGAGCCAACATTCCTCACCAACGTCCAGCCTGGAAACCCCATCTATGACCTCGAAACCTTTGGTCCTTCGGCCACAGTATTCATCGCGGCAGACGAAGATGACGCCATCCGGATAGCAAACGACAGCTCGTATGGTCTCACGGGGTCTATCCACACGCGGGATGTCTTGAAAGGTCTTCGGCTGGCCAAAGAGTTAGAAGTCGGACTGGTTGCTCTGAACAGCCTGACACTATATGATGAGGCCTCAGTCCCTCTAGGCGGAACGAAAGGGAGTGGCTGGGGCAGGAACAACAGCAGATATGCCGTGGAGGAGTTTCTGATCTCGAAAACAGTGGCGGTGGCCGCAGATGCTGGAAGTCCTATCTTTGGGGCGAGTTGAGGGACGAAGCTCTACAGAATGTAAGGGCATGTAGGTTGTCTGGTATTAGTTCCTCTTGAGTGACGTCAAGTTATTGAGATGCGCTTTTTCGTCTGCGATTCTTCTCTCACTTTCCTCTTACCTCTTAGATCAAAGAGCTCCCCTAAACAACGAGAATAATTAGCAGCAGACCTCAAAGGGCCCGACGACATACCATCAATGAATCTGGCCAAGTCCGGGTACGAGGTACACTGGCCCACGACGCCCCTGCGTGGCTGTTCTTCTTACAAACACATAGAGTAGTGAGCATCACTATTGGCCATCCAGCCTCATTTCACTGATCAGACTTTTCTTTTAGGGACCCGCTCCTCCCAATACTGCAAAAGTGCCCAGCAGGAAGATGCCCCGACAATTCCCCCTACGTCTCCCCATCGCCATCCCTTGCCGTCTCTGGAGATCTGGGGCTGGTGGGCTTATCGAGCCACCAATCTCCAAGCGAAGACTGGGCCCTCCACATGGGGAAGAAGCCTATCCTGGGTGGCCCTGGAGGCCTCAAACTTGGCATCGAGTGCCTTGACCTGCGTCCCCATGAGCCTCGGATGCCTCTAACGAGCTTGGCCACCCTCCGTCGCCTCTTTCTTTGGGGTGAAGGTTTCAAAAGATGGAAAGGACAACCAAGTGGGAGGCTTTGCCCTCGGTATTGTCACCCTCCCCCTCCGGCCCAGATCTTCCCAATTCTTTTCTCTGACTCTTCAATATCAAGTCAGAAAAATAACCACATGCCAACCTGTGCCTTGCCTGAAGGACAACTTACATACACCCCATGTGCACTTGGCCGTCTCCCTGAGTAAGAAAATCCGCTGTCATAGACCATGGATGCGCCCACGCCTAAATCGACAAAGTCCCGGAAGCGAGACACGGATGAAAGCCGAGCGGAGAGAAAGAGGATCCAGGACCGTTTAGCCCAACGGGCCACGCGTGAGAGGACCAAGAACCGCATCGCCTATCTCGAGCAGCGGCTCAGCAGCCTCGAGGCCGGCGACAAGGACGGCGAGATCACAAACCTCACGCGCATCATCGACAACCTCCGTAATGATAACAATCGCCTTCGGAATGCCTTGGTCAAGATGCGCACCGTCATCGACCAGGCCGTGCTGGGCGCCGACTCCTCCAGTGAAGCTCCAACGACAGAGACGAAGCCGTCCATACCTGCTGCTGATCAGACACCATTCCCAGCATCTACCCCGGCTACAACGTTTGGCGACCCAACTGCTGCCTTTCGCCACACTTCCGTCTCGTCGACAGACACCTCAGAGGCCACCGAGGTGATCAACGGCCACAACCTGGGCCTCAACGTAGACGTGCCACAACCAGATGGGATGGGCTCCTTGGCCGGCCTCGAGGACTTTTTCGACATGAGTTCAAACTCCTTGCTCGAAATGTTCGAGATGGGCAGTACCACGGGTTTCAGCGGGTGGCAGCCACAGACTCCCTCGCCGTTCGACTACCGCTTTCCCTCGTCCGACGCCATGGTGAAAGTCGCGCCGGACGTGGACAAGTGGCACGTATCCAACGGCGCCTTTATCTCTTGCCTCGACAGTGTCAAACAACAGACGGCATCGACCGCCACCCTCGACATGCACGTGCCCTTCAAGGCGGCCATCTGGGGCTGGGAGAATGCCGGACCCGAAGCTCAGCACCCTGTGTGGAATGCGCTGCGGCAGGTTGACCAAAGGGTGTTTGGCACATGGACTTCCAAGGCGCAACGAATCGCCCTGATGTATGTCTGCCAGACACTGATCCAATACCGAGAAAATCCAACTCGAGAAAACTTGGACCGGGTGCCTGTCTTTCTACGCCCGAGGTATGGCCTTTTTTGTTCCTCGGACAACAGGGCTGCTTGCTAACACGTTGACCCAGACCGTCACAGGAAAAAGTCCAGCATCCAGCAGTGATTGATTTTCTCATATGGTTAGTCTTTATTCCCATCTACCCGCCGCGCTTTGGTTCTTTTCTCGAAAGGACATCGCTACAACCAACAAAAACCTTCACTACACCCTACTAATCAACGAACAGGCCAGGCTTACGCGACCGCCTCGTCTTCGAACACAAGAAATACACCTCGACCGGTGACTTCTCGGCCGCCTTTGTCGAGCACTTCAACTTCTACTGGCCCTACTCGGACCGCGACATCTTCGCCTACAACCCGATGCAGAACCGGTACGAGGTTTCCAAGATCTTCCTCGAGTACGCGTACAACTTCAAAAACTGGACCATGAAGCCGGGCTTCTTCAAAAAGTTCCCCGAGATGCAACACGACATTGCTGCCTTTGAGGGCACCATGGATTTTCCAAAAGTGAGCTGGTCAATATGAGGTCACCGGCTCCACCGTTAGATGGTTTGTTGGACGTGGATGGGGACTAGACGACGAGTGGTCAACCCCAATACCCTGTGTTGATGTTCATGTTCATGTTCACGGGTTAGAGGGTTCAGCTCGTCACCACTATCATCTCCAAGAAACCGCGCGTCCTGAGGTCACCGATAAGGTGTTGGACAGCTTTGCCGCGGTCTTACGAGGGAGGCATTACAGGCGCTCGTTCACACTCACCTCGCGAATTCACAGAGCAGCTCCAGAGACGAAAGAATCTCTTCGCTACAAAAAAGACGCAATTCAAAGGCTCAACACATGCATGATCTACATGAACGAGATTTCGAGATATCTCTAGTACGTATTCTCGTTGATGGTGAAGCCTCTAGAATGGCATCAGAGTTAGCACAACACAAATGTCAAGTTGGGGGACTGCTTGACGCGCGGGATCGACATACCCATCAATGACAAGGTTGTGTCCCACCACCAAACTCATGCGTGGGAGACTGAGCAGCACCACCACGTCGCCAATCTCGTCAAAGGTGGCTTTCCGGCCCTGCCGCGCTTCATACTCCTCCCAGGCCTTGCCCGCGAGCTGGCCATTACCCTGGGCCATGAAGGGATCGAGGAGCTTGGTCAGGAGGAAGCCGGGCGAGACGGCGTTGATGCGGATATCATGCTTGCGTGCCTCGAGGGCGGCCTGGAGTTTGGGAAGAACAGGGCATGATGTTAGTTTGACCAGGATGGGACAAACATAGGAGGAAAATCAAGGGAACAATGGTAGTGAACTTACGGCTTTTGTAATGCCCATGACGGCATGTTTCGACGCCGAGTATCCCGTCGTGCCAGCGCCGGCTTGGATAGAATTCACAGATGCGCAATTGACGATGGATCCGCGTTGACGTGGCCGGCCTTGTTCACTGTTGTTTGCTATACCTCAGCCATCACCCTTCTCCTGTGGTCTCCTCGGAGAATTCTAGCATCGTTGAGAACTTACACTTCGATCGACTCCTGCTTCATCATCTGCCTCAACTCGTGCTTGTTGCAGAGAAACACGCCGACCGTGTTGACCTCGATGACCCGTCTCCACTGCTCCGTGTCAATGTCCCACGTCTCGGCCAGGGGACCGACAATGCCTGCGAAGTTTCTGTGGGGGCCTCTTTCTGTCAGCAATTGATAATTCTTATTGAGTTTTGGACCAGATAGCAGAGACGGAGACAGAGGCAAAGATGTAGGTAGGGAGGTACTGACGCTGCATAGTCGATGCGGCCAAATTCCTTGACCGCTTCGCTGACTGCGCGCTCCACATCTTCCTCCTTGGTCACGTCGGCGCGGATGCATAGGACCTGTTTGTGAATGATCGGGTGAGTCTCAGGACGTATCTATATCATGCGCCCCCCTTCGCAGTTTTCCGTCTTGTTTTCTGCGCAAAATGACCCCCAATGGAAACTGTGTGGCCCTCTTACCTTGGCACCGTATTTCTCGACGGCTTTCTTGCCCTCCTCAAAGGTCGCCTCGTCTTGGATGTCGACTAGGCATACCCCTTTGGCGCCCTCCTTTGCGAACGACACCCCGATGGCGTTGCCTAAACCGCGTGCACCCCCGGTGACGAATGCAATACCCGGGGCAATGGGTCCTGAGCGAAAGGCCATATTTATTCTTTTGGTTGCCGAGGCACAGATATTGGATGGAAGGGGTTATGTGTGTATGATCCCAAAGTATCGGCTGGCTCTGGAGGGAGCGGGTTATGTCTGTATGATCCCGAGATGTCGGCTGGCTTTGGATGAACCTGTCTTATAGACCGGTCGTATTTGACAATCCCGGTAGAAAACGAGCTAAATGCTCCTGATATTGTTGATGTCGGTGATGATCGACCAATGATTTGGCCGAAACGTCGTCAATAACGAGCCCTGAGGCTGAACCGGCGGCCGGTAGCTAGTAATCTCTTTTCTTGAGTATTTCTCTACAACAAACATCCGACTCACCAAGCAATGACTTGCTTTTTTTTTCTGACAGCTTTCGGCATGACACGTCCATCACATTCTTATTATACCCTAGGTTCGACGGGATAGGATTGGGTACAACTCTTGTTGCGTTGCTTTCCCGCTTGCCTCGTCTTGATCCCCGCTTTTCTCCACAGACTTGGGCTGCGTACCGAGTACTTTGTAAGTAGCACGACGGCTTGAACCTCGGGTTGCGGAGCTTGGTTCATTCGTGTGTGGGAGGCCCATGTTGTGGCCTTCCCATGCTGGCCCATCAAAACCTGTCTGATTGAACAAACCCAGGCAAGTGGCGTAGACTGGCGACGTCGTAAGTCAGAAAATCCTGAATCATGACACCTTCTTCACGGCGCTGTGCAAACATATGGAGCTCGCACAGTGTTGGACCCTGGTGTGGGGCAGTCAACCTGGAATAGAGGAGGATTCCCCAATATCTCGCCTCCAAGGAGCATTGACAGAATGCACATATAGAGTGGTGATTGCAGGTCGTTGTTGGAAACCGATCTGACTCGTCACCTTACTTGAAACCGTCGTGATTCCTCAACCCCATCGTCCTTCTCTGTCTTCAACATGGTGAGCGAACTCGGGTACAAGGTCGAGCCGCAATGGCATTCGAAACCAAATTTCATTCGAGTTATTTGCGTTGGCGCTGGTGCGGCAGGCCTGTTGGTGGCGTACAAAATGAAGAAAGATTTCAAGAACTACGAACTCGTCTGCTATGAGAAGTTCGTGCTCACCTATCAATCATCCATGGGAACGTCAGCTAATGGCTCCAAAGGAACTCCGGAATTGGTGGAACATGGTTTGAGAATCGATATCCAGGTTGCGCTTGTGATGTTCCCGCACACGCCTATACCTATTCATTCGAACCGAATCCAGAATGGTCGACTTTTTACGCCTATGCGCCCGAGATCAAGCAGTATTTCGAGAAATTTGCCGACAAGTATGATCTCCACCCGAACATAAAGCTGAATTCCAAGGTTCTGTCAGCAACCTGGGTGGAGGACAAAGGCATATGTCAGTCCACAGGACACCGCCATGATGACTCCAGAGACTGACCTTGGGTAGACGAGGTTGAAGTTGACGTTGAGGGTCGTAAGATCAACGACTGGTGCCATGTCATCATCAACGGCACCGGCTTCCTCAACGACTGGAAGTGTGAGTCTGTCTAATCCCTCCAATAGATCCGAAATATTGACCGTTCGGCAGGGCCAAAGATCGAAGGACTACATGACTTCGAGGGAAAGCTTCTTCATAGCGCAAACTGGGACTCTTGTAGGCTTCACTTCTGCCGTCCGCCCCTGTGGTGACTGACACATTTGGCAGCGGTTGATTATACGGACAAGACAGTCGCCGTCATTGGGACGGGGTCGTCTGCCATCCAAATCGTGCCCCAGGTGCAGAAGAAAGCAAAACACCTGACTACCTTCATGAGGTCTGTGACATGGATTTCTCCACCCGTCGGAGGCCAAGTTCTCGAAGAGGACAAGAGCCACTCGTCGGACTCGAAGCAGACCCAGGCGCCTCAAGCACAGTACTGGTATACAGAGGAGGACAAGAAGAGATTCCGCGAAGACCCCCAAGCCTTGCTCGAATACCGAAAGAAACTCGAATCTAGTGTTAACAACCTGTTCGATATGTTCATTGCCGGATCGGAGACGTCGCAGTGGGCCGAGAAGCTGATGCGCGAGGAAATGCACCGGCGGATCGGACCAGGGCACGAGGAGTTGAAGGAGAAGTTGATTCCAAAATGGGCGCCGGGCTGTATGTCGAACATCAATTCCTTTGGAGCGGGCACTAAACATTGAACAGGTCGAAGGATTACTCCCGGTGATGGTTATCTTGAGGCATTAGTCAAAGACAGTGAGCATACCAAATGTGTCATTGACATGGACCCGGCTAACGAAGCCACAGACGTGACACCCGTCCATAATGAGATCGTCAAGGTCGTCCCTGAAGGATTGATCGACGATGCTGGTCGACTGCACAAGGTCGACATTCTTGTTTGCGCCACAGGTTTCAACCTTGCGTTCGCGCCCCCATTCAAAGTTCTCGGAGTCAACGGTGTCAGTATGGCGGATGAGTTCAACCCTGAACCACAGGTTTACCTCGCTCTTACGGTGCCGAAATTCCCCAACTATTTCGTTGTCAATGGTGTCCGAGGCAATTGGGCGGCTGGCACAGCTCTCCCCTCGCATGAAGTCCAAGTCGAATACATCCTGCAATGCATGAAGAGGATGCAGGAGGAGAACATCCGAGCCCTCGAGGTTAAGATGGAGCCAGTAAAGCAACTGTACGAGCATATTGACGAATGGCACAAAGGCTCTGTCTGGAACAGCGACTGCAAGAGGTAAATTTATAACTCCCCCTTTGGTCAGATGCGCCGACTAACGAGGACAGTTGGTACAAAAACAACATCGTCGGTGGTAAGCTGTGGATTTGGGGTGGCTCAGTAAGTCGAAGGCATCACTCGTGAGAGACAAAGCTGATCTCAATAGGCACTCCATTACATGAAAACCATCAAGTTTGTCCGCTGGGAGCATTATGATTTTCGATATCGCAACAATAATATGTGGTCCTTCCTCGGCAACGGACGTGTAGAGGCTGAAGTTTTGAAAGATCTCTCAAGATTAGCACCATACATGAGAAACGAGGACGTACCGTGGACAATAGACTGAGGAGCCACGGAGCAGCATGTGCCTAGAGATGCAGGCGGGATCTCAGTAAAGTCATAAAGTTAGGCCAATCGAATGAAAAGACCGGGTGCACACTTCATGAAAGCATAATGTACAGTGCTCAGCCGGTCCATGAATCCAGAATATCCGTGCTGTGGGCCATATGACAATCTGAACATTAGCGGACGCCTACCGATTCCAAGAAGTGTGGGGGAGAGACGATCTTGCCTCGGCAGTCCATGAATCAGTGCATTCTTCGTCAGTGATTGACGGTGCGTTGCATTACTGTGGTGGTACATATATAGCCGTGTCTAAAGTGCAACGTCTCACTATCTCCAAACAGGAAAGTCGCTGAGTCTTCCTCTAGCGGATCAACAGTCTCTTAAAGTCGGCGGAAAGCTCACTTGACAGCATGAAGGCGGCCAGATATCACGGGCGTCGCGATTTGAGGGTCGAGGATGTGGATGTCCCACAAATCGTTGACGGCCAAGTTCTGATCCAAATCGAATGGTGTGGCATTTGTGGCTCTGATTTGCACGAATATCTGGTCGGTAAGTTGTGGTGTCTCAGAGACTACCCTCGAGACCATAGCTGAAGAATCGGCAGGACCGGGCATTATCCCCCAGAAGGATGCACCACATCCACTGACAGGGGCTGTGATGCCTGTGACGATGGGCCACGAATTTTGCGGTCGAGTGACTAAGGTTGGCCCAAACAGCAAATTCCAGATCGGACAGCCTGTCATGGTTGATCCACGGGTTTTTTGTTCCAACTGTCATTCATGTAACATCGGGGACACGAATATTTGCAATAGTTGGGGATTTTTGGGGCTGCAGTCACCCGATGGGGGAGGTTTCTCGGAATACGTCGCAGTCAAAGAGGAAATGTGCCATGTCCTGCCCGACTCAATCCCCTTGTCTGAAGCTGCCTTGATTGAGCCGTTGACGGTCGCCAGGCATGCGACCAAAAAATCTGGTTTCGACGACTATCGGGACAAGACCATCCTCGTTCTTGGCGGTGGACCAGTCGGATTGGCTTTAATCTTTGTGCTGAGGGCCTCTGGGTTTGGTAAACTCATCGTGAGCGAGCCAACAAGTCAGCGGCAGGAACAGGCAGCAAAGTTTGTCGACATGGTGTTAAATCCCAGGGAAATCAGCGTGCCTGAGAAATGCCGTGAGTTAACGAGTGGCAAGGGAGTGGACGTTGTTTTCGATTGTGCAGGGATCATGCCAGGTCTAAAGGATGGTATGGATGCGCTTCGACGGGGTGGGACATATGTTAACGTCGCTGGTTGGGAGAGAGAAGTAAAGTGACTCCATTCCGTCAATGAGCTTCAAACATCTGACCAGTCTTTGCAGTGTGTTGTGCCCATGGAGCATTTCATGTTGAAGGAAATCATCTTCCGGGCTTCAATGAGCTATACAGCAGAAGATTTCAAGCAGACTGTGGACGAATTCGTGGCTGGTAAAGGATTACACCCGAGATATGCGGGACCAAATCACTGACTTGAAGTAGGAAAATTCGAGGGATTCGAGAAACTGGTTACGGCGAGAATAGCGTTGGACGACATTGTGAAGAAAGGATTTGAGGAATTAGTCAACCACAAAGATGACCATGTCAAGATCTTGGTGACCCCCATGAAGGAGCTGTTGGTTCAATGAAAGGGTGATTGACAACTAGGAGAGTTGTGAGCTTGAAGAATAGAGACCACAATATACTGTTGATCACGTGCCATGATGCTTAGTCATAACTGCGCCGTTGCCACGGGAAGGGCCGAGGCGGTGACCCACTGGCGCTTGGAGACAATTTTTGTTTTCTGGCAGCCCAAATTTTGGGCTCCGAAAGACAACATAATCAACATCCTCAGCCGTCGCTTTCCCGCGTCCTTCCTTGTCAGTCGTCTTCCTACCTCGATGGACGCCCATGCGCATCTCCTTTCGCTTGGCTGGGCAGGACCCGGCCACTCCCTCGATTCGAGACCATACAAACAAAAAGGGCATCGAGGCCTCGCTTATGATCCCGCAAAAGTTGGCAACAATGGTGTCGGTCTTGTCAAGCCTCTCCTGATATCACAAAGAAAAGGGCGATTCGGCGTTGGCAAGAAGGCGCATGAACCACAGGCCGGAAATCAGTGGTGGCTGAAAGGATTCGAGAATGCATTGGGGAATATTGGCAAGAGCGAAAGTGAGAGAAGCAGTGGCACAACGACCCCAGTTGCATATGGCCATGGTACTGGAAAACACGGTGGACTTTATAGCTTTTTCGTCAAGGGACAAGAGATGGAAGGCACAATTGGTAAAGTCGGCGAGTTCACGCGAGCTTCGAAGAAGAGGAAGAGTGATGCGCTTAATGATGGGGAAAAGGATGATACTGCAGAATCCACGTCGTTGAAGAAGAAGCGAGAGGCTGCGACAGAATTTGAAGAGGCTGGCGCATATTTTGCGTTGCGTGACAAAGACGAGAAGCGTGGCCAGCGTGTGCAAAGGCAGGACCCGGTTGTTGAGTTCGAGCAAGTCGGCGAATACCTTCAAGCAAGGCTTCAGAAGAGACAAAAGAAGCGGAAATCAAAAGTTGGGCCTGGGGCCACAGATCTCGACACACCAGTCGAAGTTGACAACGAGGAGCCGTCAACTCCGAACAAAGTAGAGTCGAAGGAAGAGAGACAGGAACGGCGGCGACGACGAAAAGAGAAAAGGGAGCAGAGGCGAAAGGCGTTGTTTGATCTAGAAAACCAACGACAAAATGTCTCACCAGCCAATTCTATTGCTAAAGATTCGGACGGCACAGCTGATCGGAGGACACAGCGCAGGCGGGGGAAAGCACAAGTTTTACCAAGTCATCAGATGGCTGAGGGCGATTTGTGAATTGCTGCTTTGCATGGGTCAACTTGTGTGGTTACCAATCTCTCCGGCTTCTTTGAACTCGATCTTCGATGCCATCGTAAGACACGAGACTGATCCATCCCTGTAGCGAATGAATTTGATGACACTCGATGATTCGACTCCGCCACGACGATGCTCTTCAAATGAAGAGATGCGTATAGTAAGCGAGCACATGCACGCAGCTCTAACATAGGATGATTTTCACATCTGGCGCAGATTGACAATTTGATGTGGGACTTCCAACGCCATCCTGCATGGCGCGACGCGGCAAACGTTTTCAACTAGTCTTGTCTGGGGACCCCAAATATCTTTGTATCCGCAACTATTTACATCGCACATCATCTCAAGAAGTTGAGCTTGTCTTCTCCTTCAGCCCTTTGACAAACTGCGTTTAATCTGGTCTATCAGGGCACACTGAACACTCAGCGCCATCGCCCTCTTATGGTCGCCGGTACCCGCTGTCTCCCGGGCTTCCCAAACCATCCTTTTCTCTGTTCTCACCATCGGCTGGGGCTGAGAAGACATCGCGAGCCCAAGAGCTGGAAATGGCCGAAAGAAGCCATCATGTTGAGGCTGCCGGAGCCTGCGATTGGGTCGACCACGCTTGCTTGAAGCCCAACTCGATCAGCGCCTGACAACAGCACTCCTAAGTCGACAGGTGCCATGTTTTCTCTGCGCCTGGACGATAAGATCAAGTGACTCTCCCAGGCTACGAACCATTCCTCACCACATCATCGTTTGTACCACTATAATGCGGCTCTCTAGAAGTTCAAGGCAACAAATGGCGACTTTCCCTTCACCAGCAGAAGAAGTTTTTAGCCATAAAGGCCGCCCACATTTTACAATGCTGCAATCGCAAGCTGGTGCAAATAGGGCTTTCCTAATATATACGATGAGGAGGCTCCAACAGCTCTACATATCCAAAGCGCCGGGCGCATGGGACAGACTGGCATAGCTCTCAGATCTTGCTGATCTGTACAGCGCCGTTCTCAACTGCTGAGACCTGACTGATAGAATGAGGTTTGTAGTGCAACACGTGAAAGACCAGCTGGAACTCCAGTTTCCGGCAGGTTCCGAACGGAAATCTGACACTTGTTTTAGTTCCTGGCGACCGGAGTTCGATGGCCCTCGGAAAGAGATCGACTATGAGAACGAGAACATACCATATCTCACCCGTCAGGAAAGGATTGGAAAAGACGATGACTGGAAAGAGGTTTTTCTAGTTGACCCGGATGACAACGACAGTTTCCAGTTCCTGGTCAACCAGTGCAAAAGCTTTTTGGACGGCACGACTGGAATTTCCATTCGACCTGATGATGCAGAAGATGGGAGCACTCCATATTATAATGCGTGGCTGGACGACCGCAGCCGTGAAGGTGGCGCAAGAGTGTATCGCAATCCCTTCACGGCAGAGGAGCTCAAAAAGAAACTATCAAAGCCGGTCAGTTGCTTCAATCTTTCCGGCGTCGGCAGCCTTGATTTAACAGTTTCTAGCGATATCAACCTAAAACGCCTGGCATATGGGCCCAAGTCTTCACAGCTGTGGTGCGAGCAAATGCTTCAGCGCTTGATAGATCTGTCACTACAAATCACGCGAGTGATCCGGAGACTATAAATACAAACACCGTGGTTAGGGCCTCGACAGGGGCGTCATTCGCGAACTGTCTACAGGCGGTAGGTGAAACGATACCGAATGTGCGCCACCTTGCACGTACCTGGAGGGTAGGTTTGAGATGGGGATCAACGCTAGACAACGAGCCAGATGCAGCAAGGCGGTTGCTATTCATCACGGACTTGGATTCGGAAACCGCCACTGTTCTTATGCAAACTGCATCAAACCATCAAGCCAGGCCTCTCCGTCACGCTCTTCTCGACCACATTACTAGCAACGATGCTCACATCAGTGTGAAGATCCCAGTAAGTCCGCATCACTCGAAGAGAAGTTTCAGCGTTTTGATACTGAGTGGTTGTTCTATAGTCAAAATCTCCTTCTACCTTTGAAATGACATTCAACATACCGTTTTTTGCCTGGAGAGATACTTTCCGCGAAGACCACCGAAAATGGGCACACAGTAGAAAACCGTTGCGAGAGACAGTGGATGTGTCCTTTCTCAATCAGCATCCCGGAGAAGTCCTCTGCAAAGGGGTACTTACGGCTATGATATCCGGGTCTGACATTGAGCATTGGACTGCCTACCTCTTCGCCGATACCTACTTTGATGCCCAAGATGAGGGCAGAGAAACCGTGCTCGAGTACCGGAAGGATAAGGAGTCTAAGGAGGGAATGAACGCAGACCCTTTGACCTACGGCGAAATCGATGCTGATCTTCCATTCTGGGACCCAAGAAAATACTTCTTGATTATGGCCAGATACAGACTTCAGCAAGTAGCAAAAGAATGGACCCAGGTGGTGGCGAGATTCGGCACAAGATTTGCTGACTTCCAGAAGGTACAGTCCCTTCTACTTATCCTAATCTGAAAGCCACCGATCGGTTGCGGCTGTAGGTGATGACAATGTCACCGGCGTTGTGTCTGCTCAGGACGCCGGTCACCCAGCTGCACCGGTATTCTGTTATTGTGTTCTTTTTGATTGACTTGTTCGCCAGTCACACGGCCGCTTCTTGTCACAACCGAAGCATTGCCGATCCTCCCAAGAGCAAGAAGACCACCGCAACCAGCTTCTGTATAACTACAACTGGGTCCTGCGAACGAACAGCATATCAATGGACTTGGAGGAGACGTTGGGGGAGACCGTGGATGCAATTGCAGCCCTGCTCAAACATGCTGCTTTCTTCGGAGAAGAGACGGGCCTATTGTCTGAGATCGAAGCCCTCTTTGATCTTTTTAAGCGGCAGCAGAGGAAGATTGAACGACTTTGTGGCAAGTGCAATGCACTTTCTAAGATGGTAAGGCGAGCCTTTCTCGCAGTCCGGGAAACTACTTTCGGACTCACTCATTGCTAATCCTGACAATAACTTACAGCTTACACTTCGTCTCGACCTCGAGGCCGTCAACGCGGGCAGAATACAGAACCAACACGGAATCGACAATCACAACCTCTCACGGATCACGTTGGTTAGTTCGCCTTTCCGTCCAACGCCATTGGAATAGGAATATATTTCTGACATCTATTTTACTGCAACAGGGGTATGTAACTCCGTTGATACTCGCGATCAGTACCCTTTCGATACAAACGAATGCCCTCCGCCATGTTCCATCCATGATTCCTTGGTTGCTTTTGATGTTCTGCATCTACTATTTGCTGCTATTTGCGGTGCATACTACAGTCTTCTCTCGCTGGCATCTTGTCTCGACTACGATTCTACAACATTACAACAATTGGCGCCACTCTCGGCGTCAAACAACGGAGTCAAACGGTCCTATTCTACCTGTATAGAATCCAGGGGTACTTTTTAACTCCCTCTTCTCGGGGTCCTACACTTACAGGATGAGAGAATAACTTGGAGTTATCCTGACCATTACTTTTCTGTGCCACTTGTCCCTAGACTCAGTGGGAAACACAGGACCCCTCATCACGAGCAAGATCTAGTGGACGGGACATTGGGCATTCATGGATGGGCAGGAGATCTGTCCCAGTCTAGCCTGTGAGACATGGTCGTGTGAAACGGCCCATCTTAATCATCACCAAGCTGTTCTAAATATCATGTTATATTAGGGAGACACAGCAATCGCTCTTGTTTACAGTCCATTTCCTGTCTACAGGTTTGGACATGATCCTGCTTTACCTATGTACGTGCCTACATAGGGAGTTTGGGTGGCTTTTATTTCAAATTAGTCCTAGTTAATAATTAATATTAACATGAATACTTACCCAATGCGGGACGCCCCGTCGCCGGCCGTGGTGGCACCCACCCGTGGCACCCAAAAATTTAATCATGATATTCCCTGTCGATCTCAATCAATTGCTCCATGCTCTTTTCCGCAAATCGATAATGTTGTCTTTGGGCGTCAGCGTGTTGGACAGGGTGCATTGTGGTCTGTGAGCTTTTGGTCCTGGTTCGATTCTTTCACTGTTGGGCGTCGTTCATTTGTGTTTGCTCCCTATCATTGCTGGACAGCTGGCCGGCCTCTAGAGAAACCTGCTTCGCTCCTTTGTTGTCCCTTCGTTGTCTCCCGCGTTTCGACGCCTCAACGCTGGTATGCGCCAGGACGTAGCCTGGGATCTCTCTGCCGCAACTCACCTTGCGTATATGTTCTGTCATAGAAAGGAAAATGGTCAGTATACAGGGTTGACGGTTGACGACATCAACCCTTCACGGTCGACGAAAAGAACCTGCATTGACTTGTTTGCAAGTAGCCACCGTCCAAAACCAAGAAGAAGACCAATATCGTCTTTGTCTACACCTGCTGCCGGTGTGGACAGACTCCCATCGGCATACAGAAACACCACTGCCCTCACTGTCACCACACCCGCTGCAGTAACTGCAAATGTGAAAAAGTTATCCAGAGATAACCTGAGAGCCTCGATACAATAGACTGTTTTCCACACACCACCTCTTTGCCACTGTCTTCTAGCTGACCGGTCGGTGACGCGCCCTCTACGCGATCCACTACAATTTCCCCGGGACAAGCAAGAGCAGGCAAAGGACAAGACCAGACACTGCAGAGGTGTTAGGGTAGTTGAGGACACAACCAAGAGCAGGAATGAACGACTACCTATCATGAAGGGGGCAATTTCATCTCGGGTCTTTTTGTTGTGATTGTTGCCGCCAATGCTTTTTTGATGACTTGAGTCAGACACCTTTGCGTGCTTTGTGTTTTGGCAAATACAATCTGGGTCGGAAACATTGAATTTTTAAAGACTTGGGCTTGGGGAGTTCATATAGGATCGCTTTCGACGACTGTGGGACGGGTGGAATTCTGAGGCCAACAATTAGTCTGGTCATGTTGTTAGAATCCTCTCGAGGGGGTTTGACTTCATCTTGAGTCCTGACTTGAGGTGACAACCGTGCAGACGCCTTGTCATCAAACCTTCTTGTGTGCTGCGACTTTCAATAGTCGCCGAATTATACTTGGGCAGCTGGTGCCACAGTGGGATTCCCCGTTGTATTCCCTGTCTGCTTCTGCCAGCTGAACTCCCTGTTCGCTACGCTACTGCATTGCGAGCTGCGTGGACCTTTGACACCGGCTTGGTGTTGTGCACACCCGAATCACTCCGTATCCTCGTATTCGGCCACCCACGAGCGAGCCGCGCACTTGAATCAAGATCTCTCCCAAGTCGGAGCCAAGTGTTCGACAGCACCATCGCAGACAGAAGATGGAGGGCGGCGCGGAATCTCTGCGCAGTCTATAAAGAGCAAGGTCCCTATGCCTAGGTATGAAGTTGACCTTTCTCCAAAAGGCAACCAAAATGCTGCGGAGGCGCAGACACTAAAGAAGTCGGTCAAGTTGGGCGTCTGGGCAAATCGTTTCAGATCTGCACCTAATCGAGGTCACACGCATTGCTTTTGCTTGAAGCAGGTTCTCGATTCAGGTACCGCTCGTGGTATGTGGCTTGGACGACATGATGCCCGATACCTCAGCCGTCGCGTCTTTCTCCATCTCGAGGCTGATGAGGCGAGTCTAGGTGTTGTTGGTGTGCAAAGCCCACTGAGTCACGGGCAATAGCTGAGCAGGTCGGATTTGTAAAGGTAGCAGAGATTGTTGCCGTCAAACATCCAGGCACCAGGCCTGTGTCCTGGTGATGCAGACGAATCGGGAAGGCCTTCGCAGCTTTACTTGATGAAGGCGTCATGTGCGTCACTCGGAGGGACTCGTTCTAGATGTGAGGCGTGCAAGGTAATAATTACCCGTACCTTTGTAACTACTGTACTAGGTATGTCTGTACTCACTGCAGGGCAGCTACGCACCGCCATCACCTGCGCCTCTCCCTACCTTGTTACCTCGTTCCTCCCCTACTACTCTTGGTCGAAAGTTCTCTGCCCCGTGTCTCGATCGTGAGACAGCGTGGTCTGGTATATGCTACCCAATCCTAGAGCTTTGAAGCCCAATAGGATTTCGTTTGGCACAGGATACTTAGTGCCTTCTCAGATGTCCGCCTTGCTCTCAGCTGCTTTGTTGGCAAGCATTGCTTTGGGGCCGTCTTCTCGTCATGCCCTGTCCTTCGCGGACTGCAGATCGGTCCATGCATCCAAGCCCTATCACAGATGAAGCTGCACGCTCATACGTGTGCCTGTGGCGCGCACACCAGATCCGAGGGTGGGGGTTCATCGGAGTCGATATACAAGGGACTCCTCGCGCCGCCCACGATGCTGCCATGCAGGAATATGCAACATAAACCATGGTGCTGATCTTCCACCTGTTACTACCCGCCTCTCGTACGTGTGCGGCGTGCCTCTCACATCGGCCCCATTACACCTAACCCGACGACAACAACACCATGGGCAAACGCAAGTTACAGCAGAAAGGATTGGGTGATAGAGGTCAAAGCGACATCAAACCTCTGCGGTATGCGCTCCCAATAAAAGCCCTCAGGAACTGGCCCAAGATCTTTCGAAGACGCCGAAACATTCAACTCGGAGTCGAGAACAAATCGCACGTCACAGGTCGCGCCGAGTCCGGCGAAGATGAAATTGACGACATGATCCGAATTTTCATGCGCGAGCCCGAGGAATCACTGGGCTGCCTACCACGAGCCGACAGGATCGAAGAATTCTGCTTTGGGATGAGCATCGATTCCCTACGAAAAGCCGACGTGAAGCAAGACGAAACGCGAGTCATCGCGTGGCTGGATGATAGGAACCTGGATTGTCTGCTCGAACCGTCGGAGGCGCACTGCCGGCCTCTAACAGCGTATGAGTTGTTTCGACAATTGGAACAGCCTCGCTTTCCTTCAGCAGGACCCCTGACCCCTCCCGTCACTGGAAATCGAACAGCTCTGATGGATGCGGACCGGCGTCTCATTTTCATCACGAACCTGGATTGCTACAGTATCTATGCACTTGTACGAACGGCTTCGACTCATCAAGCCACTGCTCTTCGAGGAGCGCTATACCACCATCTGGAGTTCGAGGCCTCCTTAGAGCTAGCCGCCATGATGGAAGGATTTCCCATGTTCAGACTCGCATTTCACCTACCCTTTTTCGCCGTGAGGACTTCGGAGACCCCGCAGACGGACTGCCGCCGGGATCGAAATGGGATTCCTTTACGACGCCGGCAGGATATCTCGTTCCTCAATTGGCAGGCCGATGCTCCTTCGATCTACCTCTACGATGCACAAGTCTCCTGCGTAATCACAGGCTTCGACTGGACCAGGTGGATAGCGTGGCTCTTCATCGACACCTACTATTTTGATCCTGGTGACGAATCCGAAGAAGACGTATCGGAATACTACGAAGACGGACTCTCTCCGGCTGGCATGCGTGCAGATCCGCTCACGTACGGGATTTTAGATGCGGACAAGCCAATTTGGGATCCCGAGGATTATTTCTTGACCGTCTTGAAAACCCGCTTCGCCCAAGTGAAAAGAGAATGGAAGGGAGTGGTGACGAAGCTGAAATCAAGCTTTCGACACCATCACTCGACACATCAATATCGACTCTGGTCCCCCGCATCCAGCGACGCTGAGAGAGTGAGCAGCCATGGCGAAGAGCTTCGCCGTTCACTCGACTGGGTGCTGTTGTTTATGCACCTCGCAAAGGAGGTGAATGAGACTCTTTCCAAGACTCTCAAGGCATACGAGCCTTTTTGTTCGAGGCGAGCTGGCGACTTTGTCGGCGGACTTCGATTCCCACCCGAACACAAGTTGCTTCCTTCGATTCAGGAGACATTCGACGACTTGTGTCAACTTAGGGAGACACTCGATCATCTTCTTGACCGCTGCGGTCAATATACCAAAGAACTTGAGTTTAAACTCAACTTGGAAGTTCGGGAGATGAACACGCAACAGTTGAGACTTGCTCTCGAAGCAAATCGAATTGCGGAGGATAACAAGGGGTTTTCGTGGATCATCCTGATCTACGTTACACCACTGGCGCTGACGTCGAGCGTCTTCTCCATGCAACCTACAGTCATACCTGTTCCTCCCACATTTGGGTGGTTTCTGGCCTTGATCGCCATCCTTTTTTGCGTGGGATTTCTCGTCCTCACCACGTGGTTCTGTCGTTGGGGTCAAGTATTAGCCTTAACTTGGCAATACTGTTGTGCGGTGTCTTGCCAGTTGCGAATGCCCCGAAGAAAGAGGCATATCCCGACAGATGAAGAGACCGGCAGCTCAACGACATCAGAGGGCTCTTCTGTCTGAAATATTGACCAGGAAATTGCCCACTCGTTGACCGGCCTGTCAATATCAGGCCTCATGCAACGAACTTCTGGCTCTTGGTTCGCCAAATTTCCGACCTACCTTTGCTCGCCTGGAAATGGGAACTTGCGTGATGTATCAACTACGTTCGCGTTGGGTGTCAGTGGCTTTTGGCGGCCATTTGGAGCAATAGAATCGACTGAAGATCTGAGATACGACCGACAGCGATTCCGAGAACTGAAGGGTGAGGCTAGAGTAGTGGCATTCATATCACCAATCATGATTCTGTTTCTTCCCTGACAAGCATGTGCCTGAAGTGGCTTCCTGCACCATCGTTGGCGCCTCACCCAGTCAGCCAGTCCAACCGCCGAACGGGTGTCACACGATGATTCGCTGAGCGGATTGGGAAGACCATGGGCATATTTTCTCGGTGCATACTTCAAGTACCAATGTCTCTTTCACCGGATCGCTCTCCTCTACGACAAGCCTCTCTTTACACGCAGAGCCAAGATGGCTACCACCTCAGCTGAGGGCCTGCATGGCTTCCTTGAAGCCATGGGAATTGATGATCCTGGCTTTGTGTCGGCGACGACAGACCTTTACACCAATCCACTGGCCATCTACTACTCTCATCTAGCTGAGCTTATCGTCCAACTCACGGACTGTGAAAAGCAGACCGCCTACAAGTCGATCGTATGGGCAAATGACATGACCCATCTGGTGGTTGTGGCGCCTCGACTTCGACTCAAGGGCGTCGATTCCGAAGATCTCGCGGCCGATTTGCAGCAAAGGGTCAGTTGTCCTTGGTTGCTTCTGGAACAGACGTTCCCTTTCCCACGACCTTTGCGGCTGACTTTGAAACAGTTTCCGGAGTCCCCTCTCTTCGGACACCCTGTCAACGACGGGATCAACCTCCTGTTTTACTTTGCGAACACTAACCTTGCCCGCCTGTTGCTGTCCTATATCATTGACCGTGGATCTTCATACGGTAATACGCTACTTACCGAAGCTCCCGCCGAGACTGAGGCGGACACGAAAGCGCGCAAGGTCATTGTTGAATTCTCATCGCCAAACCTTGGGAAGGCCTTTACTGGCCTACACTTGAGGAGTACGATCGTGGGGACTTTCATAGCCTCCATGTACGAGAGATTGGGGTGGGATGTGACCAGGATGACCTTTCTTGGTGACTGGGGCAAGCATGTCGGACTTCTGGCAGCTGGCTGGTCACGATTCGGGTCTGACGATCAATTCGATGCTGACCCCCTGCGACATCTGCTTGACGTGTACGAACAAATTGAGGATCTCTTCAAAAAAGAGCAGGAAGCAGCCAAGAAGAATCCTGAAGGGGAAGATGGCGCCGAAGTGAGTCACGAGATTGAAGCAGAAAGAGACGACTTCTTCAAGAAACTCGAGGACGGCGATGAAGATGCCCTGGCTTTGTGGAAAAGGTTTCGTGAAGTCTGCATTACGCGATACACCGAACTTTATGCCCGACTCGGTGTGAAATTCGACGACTACTCGGGTGAGTCGGATGTCTCTCACGAGACTATTGAAGAGGTCGAGAATGCATTGAAGGAGAAGGGAGTCTACCGGGAGAGTGATGATGCCTGGGTAATTGATATCAACAAGAACGATGAAAAGCACGGGGCGGCCATTGCGCGGTTTCGTAATGGTACAACGACATACCTGCTCCGAGATGTTGCGGCGGTCTTGGAGCGCAGCAAGAAATATTCCTTTGACAAGATGATTTACGTTGTGTCGGCGCGGCAGACGACTCACTTTCAACAAGTCTTCAAGGTCCTCGACTTGATGGACCGTTCTGACTTGGCGCAACGACTCGATCATGTCGGCTTCGGCGACGTACATGGCCTCGTGCCCAAAGAAGGAACCAGTGGCCTCCTTTTGGGTGACATTCTAGACCAATGTCGCGATGCAACTCAACTGGCGCTGGACACAGACGAAGAGGCGGCTCAGCTGTTTTCCGAGCAAGACCCATTGAAAGTTTTCGATGCCCTGGGTGCGACAAATCTCATGGTCGACGATCTCTCTACCAGGCGAGGCAGCACGTTCAATTTTGACCTCAGCAAGCTGGCAAACACCAGGGATTATACTGGCTTGAACCTTCAAAAATGGCACACAAAGCTTGGATCGAAACTCGGCGGTGTCGAGATCGATCGTGCGGAACTCGAGAGCACGGATTACAGCATGTTCGATGGTGAAGACAATACATACGCCGACATTCTCAGGCTTCTCGTCCAGTTCCCCGCGATCCTGAAGACGTCGTTCGAAAGGTTGGAATCCGCTCAGATTCTGACATTCCTATTCAACATCATCGACCTCTTGCCTAGTATCTGGGAAGATGAGGCCGAGGCCGAAGGCTCTGCTCGAAGCCTAGCCAAACTGGCATTCTACAAATGTTGCCACATTGTGTTGGAGAACGGAATGAGGACGCTTGGGCTGGTGCCTCTGATGGATTGATACCCAAGCCCAGCATTCGACTTGGGGGTCCCTGGCCAGAGTCACAGCAGGCTTACGCAGACCCTTCGCAGGATGCTTCGACCACGTTTGAGATGCCTCTGTACAACTGTCTCGATGACTGTAAGCTACGTAGGGTGGCTTTTGGGATTTCTGTCCGTTCGCTATTCGATGATTCAGATCAATTTCGGTGACATGTCTACATTAACTTTACTACCTTAGCGAGACCGTCTGGATTTGATGAACTTGAGCCTCATTTCTGCACCGAAAGTCCCTGTCGGTGTCGCCTCGCTGGACTCTTCGAGGCTAAGCAGTATCCCTGGATCACATGTATTGAACTCGGACTATAGAGATACCCAAGCGACGTGGCCTGGCACCTTTTTCCATTCACCGCCCGATATTTTGGGCATTGAAAAGTTGCTACCAGCAAGGCGCCTTGCCAAAAGATTCCTTTTGTCTGTTTGCCTTGCGCTAATGCACGCTTGGTGCAGAGGGGCCTGTGGACTGCTGCTGGGTACCGAGTCTAGGCTCTCTCAAGACATTTTGGGCTTCGATTGTTGTATCCGACCTTTCCAGATTTCTTCTCGATATTGGTCATTTGACATGGATCCGACCAAGCTGGCCAGCGCACTGCACATTGCCATGCTCTACTTGCATCAACTAGATAGTGCCCAAGCACAACCCGCAGGGCACACCTTCAATCATGTTTGTTGCTGCCCGAACAAAGCACCCAATGGTTGCATTCGCGATTGCCTGATGTCCAGTTGTCGTCTCGCATCCCCCGATCAAGATGTCACCTGTTCAAGACGACTGGACAGAGCTCCGGTTGCCCTTTGGGCTGCATGACATGCTCTAAATGACCGAGAAAGCACACGCATGCGACAACGACCATGCGAGCGGGATATACCTCGTACTGACGATGAAGCTGCCGAAACCGACTGCCCCTCCCTGGAGTCATGAGGCGGGCCTTTACAGCACCGCCGCTGCAGAGTCCAGTTGACGCCCGAGACATTTAGTCCATTGCGTCCCTGCAGGCTGGAATTCTGATTCCTACCCATCCTTCCGAAGCCCAGGATCCCTAGCTCACTGCTACCGGGAGGCAAATGTATCTACCAAGTTGGACGACTCAATTTCGATTTAGCAGTGTAGCTTTCGATGGGCCGTGTGAGAAGGTGCCCTCCGGTGGCTGCTCTCTTCTGCAGACCGCTGAACGGACCCTCCCTTGCTGAATCCATCTGGTCTATCTATGTGTGCATGTGTATTCCAGGCTCATCGGTGAGGAACATACTCGAGCCTGCTCACAGGTGCATTTCGTTTGCAGTTCCGCCAATAAGAATCATGATTGGATGCCACGAACTGTTACTGACCGGTGAGTTAATAAGGGCAAGGACGGTCGATGCAGCATGCCCTTGAGCTCGAGGTAAGTCTGCTTCACTTTGCCATCCACTCACAAACTCCCACGCGTCGCTTGTCAAGGTCGTTCCATTGGCAGCGAGCCGGTCTACTCGCATGCGACACCGAGTTTGAGGCTCTACAAGGATTATCGCGTGCCATGAGTGAATATACATAGAGTTTGTTTTCTATCTTCATTTCATCGAGAATTCCATTCTTCTTCTTGCTTTAGAACCGAGAAAGGCCGTTTATGAGCCATGGATCCTCGTCACCGTGGACTATATGTCCGGTCAGTTGTCACAGCTGCCCTGGTATCAGCCGTCTTGCTAACCAGTCCTTAGGTGGTGCCAGAGTCCGCGGGTCAAGTTATTAGTCGGCGAAGATGACGGCACTCTTAGGGGATTTCTCATCCCCGAGGAGTTTCTGCAACGTCGCTCGAGAACCCTGCGAGAGCAAATTACGGAGCTCTCACCGTACTCTGCTACAAGAGAAATTACACTCCTCGAGACCGGTGCCCAGACAATGGAAGAGTTCTTCATCTGGAACTTCTGCCCAAATCCTCAGCTCGAAGACCGGTTGAGTTTCAGCGAGGTTGTCCAACTTGGGGTCTTCGCCTGGAAGTACCAGGTCTCGGCTCTGAGCAACCAGGTGACCGACATGATCCGGCACAACCTCGCAAACAATGAGTGGAAATTGGAGGCCGGTATCGTGGACGCCATCTATCAAGCAGCCCCCAACAAGAGTCCGCTCCGAGAGGTGATCAAGGCGGCATTGGGTCAGGTGCCGAGAGGTAACATCGATGGTGCTGAGTGGGAGAGGACCTATAAGCGCAATTCTGATTTTGGCTGGGATCTTCATAAATCCAACGACAAGGAGTGGACGGCCAAGGACTACTTGACTGGGTCTTGCCGCTTCCACAACCATGACGAAATCAAACGTCGGCAGAGCCTGTGTGATGGATGTCCCTATACACAAGAAGACTGCTATCCCCTTTGGGAGGAGGACCCGGAGCAAGAGCAGGATCCAAAAGTCTACGAACGGCCCCAAGAGACGCCTCCAACTGAAGATTGTGTCAAGGAGGACTGGAACGTGGTCCCTGTGGCAGAGAACTTTGAGGAGCCTCCAAAGATGCGGGCATCTGAAGAAATGGATAGACTCGAGCCCGTCTTTGAGGATGCGCCAGAACATGCACCAGAACCCAAAGCCGACGATGTCGACCCTGTTGTTGAGACGAATGGAGTCGCCCCTGACAGTGTTCCCGGGAATGCAATAATCGAGGATGGTGACGGTGCGCGGACCCCACATGCAGACACCAACGGAGTCAAGAACCCCTTATCCCATGATGAGGTCGTGTACGAGTCGGCTTTTGGCGACGCATGCAGCGACGAGGGAGTCGCGGCGGCGAATGGCGTCGTGACCGTTGGGCTCGAAGAGAGGGGTGCCGACCCGGTGCATATGGAAGCCATCAACGGTGAGGATCATCCCAGTCCCAGCGAAAAGGCGAAGAAGAAGAAAAAGAAGAAGAAAAGAATGAATATGGTTTTCGACAACGACAGCGTCAACGCCAATGAGGTGCCGGTGGCCAACTGAGTGAGTCTGTGACTGCGGAGGATGGAGATTGGTACTGGACCATGGAAAGGGTTAATGGAATGATGGGAGGAGGAGAGGAGGAGTCTGTGTGTTTGTCAAGGTGTCTTTCTTCCCTCTCTAGCTCTCTTTCTCTACTGTCCAGAATGTAAACCCCAGTCAGAGTATCTCAGATGCACGAGGCGTTTTAGGTAGTGTAGCATGGCATAGCAAGCGTGGTATAGGATGGGATGGGATGGGATAGGAAAATCACAATGGAACAAAATTTAAGTTGGGATATCATCTTCCGTACCGACCAGATACTACATGTCCCTTGCCCTTGCCATTACCCTTGCCTCTTGTACAGCAGTGAACAGGGAGTACAATCCGCCCGCGATTAAATTTTGCGCGTGTGTGGGGGGAGATTCGGACACGAGCATGCACACATTTCCCCCACCCCCTAGCCCTTTTTATTTTAATGTGGGTTATTGGTTCAAGGGATATGTGTCTGTGGTGTCTTTTGCCATACCGAGTACGCTGTCAATGTGCATCCTAGAGGTACATACATGTAACTTGTCATGTGTAATGTGTATTGTGTATTGTGTGACGTACATAGTTGGTACATATGCCCATGTATACGTATATATACACATATACATGCTATAGCATGTGACCTCCTGGACATTCGTGGCCTTTGTGGCATGAAGTACATCCCTCTCTCCCTCTCCTCCTCTCCATCTCGCTTGCTCGCTTTGTTGCTGGCTCACTGGCTGACTCGCTCACTGACTCCCCTTTCGTGATGCAGCCTTGCGGACTCGGCCCCTCGCAGCCTTGCTTTTTGGTTATTACCCCAACTATTGAATGCAATGTCGTCATTTGAAATCAATAAACCCCGACTACAAAAAAGTCCCCCGTTGCATTCAAAAGTCTTTTCTAACAGGAGCGAGAACGAATTCCCTGACTCTAGCTTGCTGCAGGTCCTGACTTTTAAGGGACATTACCTTGAGGTTACTTTCCCCCGCAAAGTCCAACTGCGCGAAAGTTTCTGTCAACAGGGCTAAGTTGTCTGGACTGGGTTGGGAAGTGCGTCTTTCCCGATCGGAGATCCAATCATCCTCCGGGCTACGGAGTGTGTTGTCTGTCTTCTGACCAAAAAAAAAAGAGGGAGAAAATGCCACCCTCACCACAAGCAGTGACAGACGGGTCCAAGACGTGGTCTCCCTCGCACTTGTTCTCGAGCGTGGTTGAGGGGAATGATGAGACAACTTCAACAGTGGCTCCCGCTCCAGCTCCCGAGATCTGGGACAAGATCCACGCGCACCTCCAGGCAAACGAGTTCCGCGCCGCCATCGCCTCGGCCTTTGAGTTGCCCGCCGGCGACAACTTCACGTACCATGCCACCGCGTCGGTGAATCTCGCGCAGGCAGAGGCCGCGATTCGCGCTGGACGGGTCAACGGCTTGCATGGGTGGTATGTCGAGCGTGTGTCGCCTCCACCTGCACCTCCGTCTGCGCCAGCAACTGGTGGTAGTGACGGTGTCGGCGAGAATGAGCATGAGCGTGGGGATGATGGTGAGAATGATGATGACAAGAACAACGACGGCGACAAGAACAGCGACAGCAAAGACGATAATGACCCCTCCGAGCCCAGGACGATCCCCGGACAACCGTCGCTGAGAATCTCGGGATACCCGCCCCCAGCAGACATCCAGGCGTATATCTCGTTATTCGACCCGACCCGATCTGCCGCCAACAGTCTCAAGTCCCTGGCAGCCAACGCGAAAAAGGGATCACTCCGCGCGACGGTGGCGGAATATCTCCTGAGCAAACGCCACCTGGACGCCTCGATCAGCGTGCCTAAGTTCAAGCCTTCCCCAGTGGTGGCGGCAGCTCAGCAGGATGGATCGAACCAGCCACCACCATCCAGCAAGTCCTCCAAGACGACAACGCGGCACGAGAACCCGGCGCTGGACTTCTGGGCCTACTCGTGCATGGCGCTCGAGTACGCGGGCCCCAACGCCAACACGGCGCTGGTCAAGACGTCGCACCACATCCTGCCCGTGTACATGCACCACTTTGGTTGCGTGTGTCCGTCGTGGGAGGCTCTGCAGGTGATTGCGAAACTTGCTTCTTCTATCTCTCACTCTACCTCTACAGGTGCAGGTCCAACCGACTCCGCCAACTCCAAAAACCGCGGTCGTCGCACCCCCGCTGTGCTCGACATGGGCAGCGGCAACGGGTACTGGACTCTGATGCTGCGTCGGCTGGGCCTAGACCTGGACGTCGTCGCCGTCGACAGCGGCCAGTCGCGGTGGCGCGCCGTGTGGATCCCCGACACCCACGTCGCCGACGGGGTGCAGTACCTGCGCAAGCGCGGCGGGTGTCCCTCGTCGCTTCTGCTGCTCGTCTACCCCATTGTCGGGAGCGGTGGCGGTGGCAGTGGCACCGGCGAATTCACCCGCAGAGTCCTCGACGCGTACACGGGCGACGTCGTCTGCGTGGCCGGCACGCAGAACGGGAACGGGTACACGGGCTTCAAGGACGTCATGGTCGACGAGTACATGGCCAGGGAGAGGCCCGGGTGGGAAAAGGTCGCGCAGGTGGCCCTGCCGAGCTTCGCCGGTAAAGATGATGCGTTGTTTGCGTTCCGGCGGAGGAAGAAGATGGTCGACGAAGGAGCCGGTCAATAACAATGAGGATACCCAACACACTACACTACAGTACAATACAATCCAAGCGCAGTCAATACATATTGTGGCGAGACCGACAGACAATCAGACGTCAGAGGATCCCCTATCAAGACGTTTGTCGTGTGTGCCATTAAATGAATTGTTGGTACATAATCCACCGTCTATTCTAAAGTCTTTTGCTTTTGGAGGTCTTGAGAGAAACACACCACCTTAGGAAGATTCTCTGTTCCTCGAGCAGCCCAAGCAAACCACACAAATGTCTATCACATGCAAGAATCTTTTGGCGCAGCCCTCGAGAAAGGTCGTCTAAACCCCTACCAAGGCCATCTAATCCGGAAATGCTCTGATGGTCTAAAAACGCTTCTCGCAGCGTCGCCGATGGTGATGTGCTGTGTCGTGCATGCTGAGGATCCGCCCGCGCAAAAAAAGATATGAAAATGCTCCGAACCCATATAACCTGAGCTGAAATCATGCAAATCCGTCATCTTTTGTTGCGTCTATTTGGAGATCTCAACACCGCCCTACAAACATATGTTAGCTTGTCTCCATTCAATAGACAATTTCTGTAGAAAGAGATCGGATTCTCGAGGCCGAGGAAAACTTACAGTCGCGCCAAGGATTCTGTGGAAAAATGTTAGCATCCGCCAGCGGCACGGGAAGACTTTGGGACATACCTCTTGATATCACCGTAGATGGCGAATTGACCGGCAGTCAAGGTCCCAACCATGAACAGACGAGCACCAATACCAGCATAGCTACCACGGAAACCAAGCTCCTTTGCAATCTTGAAAAGTCGGCTGGTGGTGCTCTCACCCGGCAGGCCCTTGGTCTTGTTGATCTTGGAGAGCATGGTGTCGGCAGGTTGGGAAACAATGGCGGCCGCGAAACCAGCAATCAGACCAGAGCCAAGGTTGACGACAGTCTTGGTGCCATCGGAAGCGGTCTCCTTGTCCAACGAGCGCCAAACCGCCTCAGCGACCTTCTCGTAGACGACGAATTTGGCCATTGTGTAAGGGACCTGCTTGAACAAGATGGGACCGAAACCGCTGTAGAAAGCGCCAATGCCCTCGTTCCTGAAGATCTTGCCAAAACCGCCAACCAGGCCAGAAGCGAAGGTGGGTTCCGAGACCAATCGGATACGGGTTGCCTCAAGAGGGCAGAGAGCAATATCGGCGAAGAACTCGGCGGCGGCAGAGGAGGCGAGGTAGACAGCAGTGCGGTTGTTCGAGGCGGTCTCATATCCGAGGAGGTTAATGGATTGCTGCTTGAAGAACTCGTAACCTCCGAATTTGAAGGCTCCCTGCAAGAAGTAACCTGCCGCGGTAGGGCCGAAACCAGTCAAGAGAGCACCAGCACCCTCGTTCTGAATGACTTTTCGGAAACCACCGATCATGCCATTGTTGTATGTCGCAGGGTCCAGCTGGATTCTCGTCTTGACGCTGAAGGCCATGTCAGCGCTTATCAACTGCGCGGGCTGGAAGTGAGCTTACACATCGACGGGGGTGAGGGCACCGTGGGTGACAGAGCAGCAGACTGCACCAGCGAAGGCCTGGAAGAGGTCAGCGGCGAGACAAATTTCATTTACGGATGCAAACTCACGAATCTGCTGTAGAGATCGAGGCCGGAAAGTTGTTTGGGCGCGGGGGTGGTAGCTGGGATAGCAGCACCGACCTGAGGAGTCGCAGTCGCCATTGTGGATGGAGTGGAGATGAGAGACAGGTCAACTTGAAGCAATCTAACAGAGACGGGGAAGCAGATCTAGAGACAGGCGGACCTAGACCGAAGCAACAATTCAAGAGAATGATGGAGTTGTCACTGTGGTTTTTTTCCTGGTACTTGGGAAAATAAAAAAGGGACGGAGATGGATGAATTGAATTGAAGCTGCAGCGAAAATGAATCGGACCTTTGCCGGCAACCCAGAAAAATGCCGCACTAAGACGCGCCGAGGCGCTAAGCGCAGCCGATCGGCCGACGAGGCTTTGACCACGGCAACCAATCACGCTGTCACGTGTGAATCCTTTCGGGTTTGGCTTTCCCGAGCCCCTTTTTGCCTGCGAACCAGCGACCAGATATATATCTACCGGGTGCGAGGTACATCAGTCGAAAGGCTGTACCGCACTTCTCCACGAACGAGGCGAGGCTGTGGCGAAGCGGGTGGATGAGTGACATTGTTGCAGACTGAACTTTTTTCAGTATTTCCCGACCAAGTCTGCCATCTGTACCATTCCAATCTGGATGGCTCTGTCGGATTGTTTACCCTCCACGACTGGAAACCTTCACAACGGTGTAACCCTCTTGGGATCTGCGATCTCCAGTCGAGCACTTGTCGGTGCAGCACCTCCGTGAGGACTCAGCAACTCAACGTCGCTTCCAGAGAAGTTTTGAACGGCAGAAAATCTTCGCGAAGGATGTGGTGAGTAGGCGGTATCCAGAACGCCGCTGGCCATGGGGCTATCACGATAGACACTCTCATCATTGGAAATGGTCGAATCTCCGCTATGCCGTACCTCACTGACAAGGCCATACCTCACCGGCGTGCTACCGACCTGTCTGAGCAGTACATCTGCCGAGGCATTAGAGTCTGCGCTCCGCAGCAGAGGCGCATTGAACGCCTTGGCCGTTTCGATCGGGCTCATAGACACGCGACGACCGATGCTCCAGGAGCCATGGAAGGTGTAAAGAACAGACCCGATACCCAGTAGAGACGAGAGGGTGGCCAAGGCTAAGAAGAGATAGTCCGTGTGATAGACGGTATGGCTCCCAAAAGCCTGCGCATTGACGTGCTGGGTATTCGAGCTGTTTGCCGTGGCGACCGCAGTGCGGAAAATGAGCTCTCGTATTCCCTCGAGGAAGTCGGCGAGTGGGTTGGTAAAATAGACATCACAAGAAGGCTGTTGTTCAATCCCTCGAGCATATGCAATCGAGGCTTCGCTTTGGGCGCCAGCGAATTGGTAGCCAATGGCGCCGCCAAAGCTAAATTGAAGGTTGGTGTTGTACTGATTAGCCAGTGCAAGGAAGATCCCCCCGTAAGTGGTCGTCCCCAGTAAATGACTTTCGTCAGGAAGAGAATCAGGGTTCCCAACAGCGACATCGTCCCAAATGGTACTGCCAGTATCGAATGTGATGGTAGATGCAGTGCCATCGACGATGACGGGATAAAGAACCGTCCCTGCCCGGAGAGTGCAGTTCGTCACCGATAGTTGCCCAGCGCAACCGGCATCAGGTTTGTACTGCACGTTCAAAGTGGCCGTGGTCGGATCCTGGGAGACGTCGAAGGCGATGTTTGCACCAAATACCACAGGGCTCGGGAAGTCGGTAGAATTTATGGCTGGGGTAACGTTGAATGGCACTTGATAAGACGAGCAGTTCGTGTGGAAGCCCGCCCCCAACACACTTGTTCGACATTTGGCCGTGCAGTCGGATTCAAGATGAATAGGTACTCGAGTGTAGTATCCTCGTGCTATGGTAGAAAAGTTGGTGCTCAGCATATTCACTTCGTCCCCTCGACCGGACACAATGGCCGTGAATCCTCGAGGTACGAGATGATTGACCTGGAGATCCAGGGCTTCTTGTGCCGTCACGGTTGCATTTGTGATTGTCGACGCTCGTTGGAGCAGAGGACCGTTGATGGGAGTAAGGGCCACGAGGATACTCGCTAGGGCAATCAGGTTGAAATGGCGACCGCTCCAGACGGCCGATAGAAAGCTGTTGCCATAAGCCCAAATACGGTGCAGGTCCGCCACCGTTGTTCCATTACTCAATACTTTGTGCCACCAAGCAATAGTGACACCTTCCAGAAAAGCAAAAGCAACAGTGACGTTAGTGATGGTGGAAGCAATGGAGAGGTAAACCGTCGGCTGGAATCTCCATCGCCTCACATCGTCGCCGTTCGAAGCTAGCAAGATGGCGACCGAGACCACGACTCCCGCCGCTGCAAGAAGTAGTGCACCAAGACCTTTGAAAGGGAGGTGCAGTAATCCAGGCTCCCAGTGGTACCGAGAGGGACCAATGGCAGCATAAGTGGTGCTGCTGCCGCCGCCGCCGCCGTTCTTGAAAAGCATGATGCTGAAGTTGACCCGACGTCGGATGTTTCCCACGGTAGCCTTGTCAATCAGGAATACACTGGCGGATACGAGCAGCGGCCTCGTCACCAATGTTCAACCGTGGGCTGCATTTCACTCTACCTCCAACTTGCAGATAGTAGTCCAGCTGTAGTGATCAGCCACCGAACACAAAGGACAGCAGGCTGAAAAGAAAGAGATGAACCGCACTTCGTCTCGATCAGGCTCTCACCAGGCGAAGCCGCTCCCGCTCAATCGGGGTGGATGCAGCCTCCCCATGCATCTCTGTTTGTTTGCTGGCCTCGAGCTATGACGAAGAGCGGGACTAATGGACCTCGAGAGCCTCTCGAACAGCGCCGAATGGTCTCATGCAGGGTTAGTCATTAGGCCATTGTGGCCAGTCTCCGTTGACCCTTGTACAGGTTGAGACAGAAGTCCCTAAAACCCCCTCTTTATTTGTATTCCCCCTAGTGGCGTGGTGTGACCGTCGCTGGTTTTAGAAGTCGGTTAGAAGGAGAGATGCATCTTGTGGCACATCCTAGGCATTTGGCAGGCAGAAGCTGCTGGTTTCGATGTGAAGAAGAAGGCTGGTGATGCTGGTGGTGTTGTCACTGGGCCCCAGATGCAAAATGGAGTGGCTGGCTTCTAGCATAGTTCCTGTAGAACCCTGGTCAATGCAACTTGAGCTGTGGGTGTAAGGGTGAAATGAAGGACGTGATCATCGCTAAGCGGGGAACAGACACAAGTCCCATGGAGAAAGGATGGTGAGAGGACGTGGCAAAACTTGGAATAATACCGTAGAACTCGCCCCCACGACTGCAGCATGCACTAACTATTGTCACAAGGACGCCTAATATTGGCCAGTGGGCATTTCAACCCCTCTCGACGGTGCAGGTTGATGGGTGAAATTGAGTATCTGTACGAGGTACTCAGTACTCGATAGGTATATGTTGAGTCCACCTCACCTTGAGGCTCTGCTGTAAACTCATCTACCCACCATGTGAAATGTCGGCGCGGAGTCGTCACTGTTCCCAGACGGCGATCCTCTCTATTCACCATGCATGCAATCCCGTTGCTTGTTGTCAGCTTGACCACAGTCGGAGCTGTGCACTTATCACATCTCGACAACCCACAGCAACACCTACTACCAGCTGCTGCACTGACTGCGCCGCCTGAAGCTACTGCCACCCTGTCGACCCTGTTACCAGATGGCATCACTGCAGACCCAAAGGAGCTGCAACGGCGGCAGAAGCAGGAAACGACCTTTACACTCCAAACCGTCTATCCAGGACCTTTTACCTGGCTCACTTCTTTGGGCTCCCTGTGTGGCTTCGTGGCCAGTGACGTCCGTAAGAGACTTCCCCTTGACTTCTGCTTCCTTTCTCCGGACATGAGTTCCCATCTGAGCCAGTTAGTTGCTGATGAACACAGATTGGGCCCTGTACTGCGACGTGGGACAGTATTGCATAACGGATGATCTGTTCTTGCAATGCTGCTCAACCACCAGCGAGACTTTCTGGATGTCGACCGGCTACTACACCGATGCAAGCACAGGGAGGAATACATTGACCACGACCCTCATATCGACACTCTTGATCACTATGTCGTCGACATTAGGCAACAACTGCACGGCGGGATTCAAGACATGCTATGACTACAATGCCACCGCCAGCTGCTCGGATGGCTGCACCTCGACCGCGTTGGTGTGCAATAATCCCTACTTCCCCTATTGCGCGTCTCTCTACAGCGGCGGCGTCACCCCCAGCTCCGTGGGGACAACGTCCACCTACCTCCCCTTCGAGTATGGCGTCAGCTATTTCTGCGATACCGAGGCGTATGGCCTACAGTACGGGGATTATGGATACTGGCCATCAGTCACCAGCACATATTTCTCTGTTGCAGGGGCGTCCACCAGCACAACACCAACCTTCACCCCGAATGTCGTGCCATACAGCCGCACTCAAGCAACACGTCCTGCGTCCCAGGCCACGCTTCTCGCTCCGACCTCCACAGTGTCGTCTGCCACTTCTTCTCGCCCATTGTCCTCTGTCGCACGGATGCTGGGCACCGTCTCTCTCCTGGCTCTTTGCTATGTGCTATCATGAACATTTGCTGCAATTGAGCTATCGTGGGCGTCGAGCATCATACACACCGCTGGATTCACCAAGGGCGTGGCCTTGTGCGATTGTGTCGAACACATCGCCATCTCCTCCACGAGAAGGCAAAGAGAATCCGAACGCCGATGCCCATGACAAAGCTGCAGAGGTTCTTTTACAGCGATTCTCAGAACTCACTGGCCTGGAATGTGACCCGCATCAACATGCCAGATTCCATCGATATACTCAGAGACCTCGAAGGCATAATATTCCAGCTGTTGATTTCTGCATGGCTCTATGATTCCAAAAGCTACAAGCCCATTGTTTGGGAGCGGGAGACCTTGTATAAACTAATGAGATGGGCCGAATGTCGTCCTATAGAGATCACAACCGGTCAACCATGTCTGAGACCACTGGATCACCTTGCCCGGCGTTACCGATTCCCACAGATCCTCACCATACGAAATCCCTAGCTCTCCTAGAGGAATCAAAGAGGCTAACATTGCCCATGGAAGAGGCTTGTACAAAAGTCAACACCTCTCTCACAAACTGTCACGGAATCCAGTGACAGCCGATCACGAGAGTTAAAAATAATACAATCCGCTGCAGAGACTTAGTGTGGTCCGCCAACGTGGCGATATCGCCCGTTGTATTGTACACCCCGTCGCACCTTCTCCAAAGCCATCAGCTCAGTTGTGGTTTCAATTGGTAAAGATTCAACTGACAACGTCATATCAAGGATAGCAGGGTTCGCGGTGGTAGCCATTATCATCTCAGGCGCAAATGTGGTGGTCAAGAGCATCGTGGGGTCAGCAGTGGCCGGTGGTCCTGGAGAGGTGGCGATCTCATAAGGGCCTATGTTTGCACCCCCAAAGTCTGTCGATGAGAGTTGCACCAGCGCGAGTAGTGGACTAACCGTGCTAGCTGTGGCAAAAGGCAGCTCAAAAGATGGATTTGCGCTATTAGTGGTCTGGGCAGCAGACGGTGGTATCGACTCGCTCGTTGTAATGCCTATGCTCGTCACGGTTGCAGACGTCGCGACAGTCGCAGTACTTGAGATCCGGGCAGAAGATACCTCAGAACTTGTCAAGAGACCTTTTGTGCTGAAGTCCTTTTCGGAAGTCTCAGAAGAGCTCGCCAGAACGGGTGCGATAGCAGAGGAGGCCAACGCACTGCTACCAGTACTGGACACTGTAGGGGATGTCTCGGTGGATGCGCCGACAAACGTTGAACTGGTGTCATCTGCGACAATTGCCATGGTAGTAGTGCTGCTCAGGCTTGGTGTGAGCGTCTCTCCGGTGGTCGTCGACTCGCCTATCGTATCTGCCAGCGTTCCTCGAAAGGGTGTGCTACTTGATATCGAAGTAGCGGTGGCTCTGAGGGAGGATATAGTCGATGAGGACGTAGTCCTACCGTCGAGTGTGGATGACTCAGAGTACAACGTCGTCGTTGATAGGAGACTTGTAAAGAAAGTGGCTGGTTCCGAATAGGTAGGAGAACTAGATGTCATGAGAATAGGGAATAACGTGGTGGAAACAAAGTCAGGATCTGAGTTGGTACTAGAGGCAGGAGACATTGATGTTCCAGAAGCAGGTGTGGTTTCGGAGCCGGGTGTGCTTATCGAGTACTGGAACCAGGTATTAGTAGCAGAGACAGTAGTTGAAGTTGTCGAGTTCATAGATGTTAAAGACGCATTAGATGGGATATTGACACTTCTCGTGCTAGTACTGGAAATGGCACTGCTCTTGGTTCCGTCCAGGGTCACTGCACCGGAAGTGGTTGTGCTACTATCTGATGCAGGTTGCGCCATTGTCGATGAAGGTAGGACTCTGGGTTCTCCCAAAGAGGTCCCGCCTGACTGAGAAGATATGTTTGACGTTGTAGCTAACACCAGGCTCGCTGTCGTTGTGGAGGATGCCTCAATAGCCAAACGGGTGGGATGCAATATTTCCGACTTGGTCGAGGAAGAGGTGACTCTGCCTTCCAAGAACGAGAGCTCATCGGAGGAAGATGGCGCAGAGACGAAGCCTAGCGACGTCTGAGATTCTGAACTTGAAGCTATTTCCGACGAGGCAGGAATTCCAGAGGTTGTGGCTAGCCCACTGCCTCCCTCTGATGTCCTTGACAAAGTGATAGTCGTTGATGAGTGTAACAGTGACTGAGCCCTGGAGGGCTTTGATAGACCCCCAAGCCTGATGCCGGACGATGAGGACCTAGATTGTAGCGAAGAGGTCGATAACGTCCATGTTTCCGCAATGGAGAAAGTTGATGCATTGATACTGCTACTGCTTGATCGACTGATGGCAGTGGTTGGCAGTGATACAATTCGTGAAGTGGTGGAGGATACTGAGCCTATGCTGCTGCTTGCCGAACCTGAAGAAGACACGTAAGAATCTCAAGGGAAGTATATCAACCCTGTTTCACTTACTGGCTATAACGGCGGTGGTCTGCAGAACCACGGGGAGGCAAATGAATGGTGTTGCACTTCCGAATAGAATGAATGCAATACCAAATTCATTGACGCAGAAGCCCGATCCCTCGGCTTGTAGTAGCAGGAGACCAGTGGAATCAATAAACCACTTCGACAGGCGCCCATTGATGGTTGTAATGAGAGAGAAAGTAAGGTAAGGCTGGTCGAGATTGGAATCTACATAGAATGAATCAGTCCGCAAGTAGCCTGCGGTATCCAAAAAGAATCTAGAGGCTGCCGATGATTCGCTGAAGAGAGTTCCAATGCCACCTGAAACCCCCAAATATTGAACGGTTCTCTTGCGAGTCCTCAGGGGTATGTTTGTGGTGATGAAGAAGGGACTCGTATCAGGGGGGGCAGGGACAATCTGTGTGCTTGACGTGCTGGATAGTGACGAGGTGCTACTACCAATGAATGTGGGAGAAGTAGCCGAGATCGTTGAAAAAGAGCTTGCAGATGTGATCGTAGATTGAGTAGTGAGAGTTGTAGTTAGCGAGAAGGATGTGGAGGCGGATCCAATTGACGCATCGACAACGGAGGCTGAAGTAGACGTCGAAGACGTCAACACGGTGCTGAAAGGGCCAGGGCTGGTGCTACTGGGGGTTGAAGTTGAACCGCCAATCGGGCCCACACTGGCGTTAAAGGTACTGCTAGTTGATGTGGTCGTGGTCCCTGAACTTGTTAAAGACGATAGGGAAGCTGATGAGCTAGTATCTGGCACGATGCTGGTGCTAGAAGAGGTGCTCGTTGGAGTTGGCAGTCCTGGGTTGGTGCTAGGTGGGCTCGGACTGGCGATCGAACTTGTACGTAATGAGATGGCCGTAGAATCGGGTACAGCTCTAGAGCTAAACCCCGAGGAGCCACTTCCTGAACTTGCCGCTTGGAATGAGGTGCTGGATGAGCCTGCTCCGGGTAAGAAAGCCGTGCTCGAGGAGCTGGTCGTAGCCAAAATGGGTGTAGCAACAATGGTGGTGGAGCTTGTGGGGTTCGAAGGGAATGAATCTGTGGTTGACCTTGAGATCGGACCGGTGCTGAAGCTGGAGGTAGTGGATGCGATGAGTAAAGTACTGGTTGTCGTAGAAGTAACGCTGGAAGTGGATCTAGAGATCGGAGCACCGGAAAAGCTCTCGCTGCTAACAGAGCTTGTGCTAGAGGAGAGGAGAGATGTCAAGCCCGAAGCCGTAACTGAGCTGGGAATTGATGTTGAGATGGAAATAGGACTAGTGGAAGAGCTACTCGTAGAGTTCAGGGTTAAAGTTGAACTCGAGTCAGGAAGAGGCCCACCCGAAAAGCTTGCTGTATTGACTGTCGTAACCCACACGCTGCTTGTAGTCGATGACCCTGCGCCACTGGACGAACTGCTCGTGACTTCACGGATAGTGGCAGCCGAAGAACCACTGACTGGCGCTGTAATGGTTATTGAAGACTGTGGAAGGCTGAGGCTAGCTGAAGGGCTGGTAGTGTTGGCAGTAGGGCTCACTGATGGGGTCAAGACACTGCTGGTTGCAATGGTCCCAGAGGTGACGCCTGTAATGGAGCTCGTCGTGTAGGAGATGCTTGTAGAGCCGCTGGTCGGGTTGAGGCTAGAGCTCGGAGACCCGCCAGTAGATTCAGTGCTAGGTGCAGATTGAGATTGACTGGGAGTCCAATCACGCCAGTCCTGAGGAAGAGGGAGGCTAGGGTTGACCACATCATCGCTCCCCCAGCTCGTCCAATCGTAAGCATCGCCACCTAGGTCATCGACAGGCGAGCTTGGGCGGTTACCTGGATCGCGAAAACCAGGGATTACATGGCTGCCAGTGGGAATCGGAACAGTGAATGATGTCCGCGGTGGTTGTCTAAGACAGGGTAAGGTCCAGGAGATTGTTTTAGTGACGACAATGGTGAAATCAATAATCTCGCGGGGCCTGTGGCACTCACGAACGATATGATGGAAGTACGGACTCGGGGCGACAGTAATGGTTTTGACTCCGGCAGTGACGATATGACTAGGAGCTGTCAGGGTGAAGGTGAAAGTAAAGGTGCCGACCGAAGGAGCCACGAATCGGGTTGAAAGAGGCGTTAGTGTCGTTGAAGAGGAGGCAGAAGCGGGCATGGAGATCCATGTCTCTGCGTATCCCATGCACTTGGCTCCAACAAGACCCGACCTGCACTCAATAACGTTGACGACCTGAGACCGACTTCCATCCTGATGCACATTGCATTCCTTACAAAGACCGCTCCCGCCATAGCCTGGTATCGCCAAAGGGCCCATCTTGTTGTAGGCAACCATAAAATCTTTTGCGACCGTGAGGTAAACAGGTTTGGGAGGAGCGTAGGAAGTGGTCCCATTCTTGATGACAGCTGAGGTAGCGGTGGCCAACTTAGTGATTGTCGTGCGGAACCGAGACACTGTGACCGTTTGAGTAGTAGAAGTGACCGTAGTTGCGTGGATCGAAGTACCATTCCATGCGGCAGGGATAACGGTGCTAACGTACGCAAAGGTGTCGAGGGAATATCTCGTAGTACAAGTTCCCTGGAAGCATGTCGATATTCCGAAGCAGGTTGATACGGTTTGATGCTGTGCCGTAACAATGATGGGAATTGCCGATAAGCTTGGTGCATTGGCACAGGGAGTAATCGTCGCCAGCGGTCCAGCAAGAACAACTCCCGGCACTAAAGCGCCCACCGTGTTGAGAAAGCGCATTGGGCAGGGCCAAAAGGAGTGACTGAAGGGAACGTCTTTTCAATAAGTGAGGCAAAGAATGAGGTGTGGTTTTCGAAGACATTGAGAGGATCAAGAGCAGTTGCCACATTTGGGTGGGATTTATAACAATGCAAACTCAAGGTGGTGGAGAGGTGCTAGAAAGGAGAATTGGGAAGAGGTGGCACAATGCTCTCGTCTGTAGAGATGGCATCTGCGCTTGGCCTTGAACAGACTCTGTCCATAATCTCAAACAAGGTCGAAGAAGACGCCACGAGGTTGTCCATGGAGGCCAGAGAGGTGGAATATGGACGAGTCGGTGAAAGCCCCGAACCAAATTGATAGTTTTGACAGAGCTCCCAATCTCCCTGAGGTGTGCGGGTGTGGATGCAGGTCCTCATAGCAATTGGGAATAGAGTGGACGAGAGGGGGTTGAATGATCACCAGAGACTGTAGGGCAATATGGTGCAAGGCTGATGGAACAAACCACATGGGACGAGTTCAAATTGCTGTCGTGTAAAGGCACCTCAGGAGCACTGTGGACAGAAAAGATGCTGGGCCAACGTACAAGACGAGCAGTTCCATCAGGCGCAGAAACTGCAGCCAAATAAGAAGGGTCAGCTAACTTCCACAGATCACTCATTCCCAGACCTGGCTCGCTCCTCTCAAAGTCAAGACGGGTTCACCGACTGACTTGACTAACCACGTGACAAAGTGCGAAACGACGATGAGGCACTCACTGTTATGATCTCAGTCTCCTCGACTTGTGGACCATGTACCGGGTACTGCAATACTTTAGCAGCCCATGGCTCTCAACAACGATGTCTCTATTGGACTCAGGTGTCGTTCTCCGTGGGCAAGGACATTGACGCTGCGGGTATGAGCGACCGAGATCGACAGCGAAGGACACGTGCTCTACTGAAGGATCAGATAGTGGTGCTTGCATGGTGGCGTCGCCCTCGCATGGCTAAGAGTGAAGACGGAAGTTTTTGAAGGTCAAGTTCTAGTTTGGCGGTTGCAGCGGAAGGTGGATCCCGTGATGTGCGAGCATGTGTACTAGCCGTGTCCATATCAGGTCAAGAGAGCTTGGCAACAAAGTTTGATTGGTTTGGCACCGGCTTCCTATCCGAATACCCCACTCTGCTGCACGTCTCCTCCTGGGTGCGACGCCTAGTGGTCCGTGTAAGCTCTTGATTGTTCGGCTCTCAGTGCCAATAACTAGTCGTACGTGCTACCTAGGTGCTAAATGGATATGCAGTGGGGGCCTCCCCTCCGTACCTAGGTAACTAAGGATGCTCCTCAGACCCTGCATTGTTTGCTCCCTTGAGCCTTTCCACGGGGGTTTATGAATGCAGGGACTCCCTCTTTTTTTTCTGGACACCCAATTGCTTGTATGCCTTATACTCTGACGGGCCGGACCCCTACATGTGCCTTACCTAGGGAGAAGGTAAACATTTCTCCTGAACTCTTGTAAGACCACAAATGTCGTTTGTCGTTTGATAGGTATTTTTTTATCCGCGATGCATATAATGAATAAATCACTGTTGGTTTCTATGCATCTATCGTTCAAACCTTGCTTGCTGGTTTAGTGGGAAGCAAAGCCTTCTTTTTCGCCCCCTAACCCCGCCAGATCTGCGCCTAAGCGAGCCGCCTGAGAGCCGCCCCCCCCAGAAAAGGACATGTAGGTACCTGATCTGTGGGAAGCCGAATGTTTGTCAGAGTCCCAACACAATCGGCTGCATTTAACCTTTGATGCCACTACCTTTTCACTCTGCGCCTGCCCGTCGTTTGTCTCTTTCCCTTGTCCCCTATCTAATAGCGAGAAGCCTGCGGAGAACGACAAGAGTAACAATGCCTGGCGGGGGTGTTTGTCCTTTTGCCGTCGCCTGTCACACAATTCAATTTTAAATTGTGCCACTATCTTTGGCGTCCCTGTCCTTCGTATTCTCTCGTGATACTCGGAGCAGAGGAATATCTCTCATTTTCCAGTGTCTCGTCCGCTGTCCAACCATCCCCATCCCAATTGTTGCCTCCTTTTCTGTCCGCTTGGCCCTGCGTTAGCCATGACAGACGGCCCTGTGCAGCCTCCAGCTGCATTGAAGTCGTTGGAGAAGGATTATCGGGCAAAGTCCACCGAGATCGAAGCAGTCTTTGAAGTGCTGATGAATTCCTCCCCTCCCCTCCGGATTGTGGTTGCTGACTTCCTCAGAAACTGGTCCAACTCCTTAGCGCCAAAGAAGCAGAATGCGAGAATCTCAGGTACGATCTTCAGGATCAAACCGAATCTCGAAGACACTGGCACAAGCGCGCGACAGAAGCCGAATCTCGATTGGTTGGCCCTCCCTGTTGTCCTACCCCCCATGGCGTCTTTTACTGATCCGTCATGAGCAGTCAAGTGTACAACATGTCATGGTCCTCTTCGACGGGAATCACCACTTTTTCAGTCCAAACCTTGTAAGAGCAGGAATACAAGGGGCAAAGTCAGCAATCGATACTCTCGTGGCCGAAGCCAAAGCATTTGCCCGCGAGCAGCACAAGAATGACCTGCCAGACCTCCTCTCGGTAATAGTGCACATTTTCATTGACGTGGGCAAGCTGGCCGACGACCTCTCCACCGCGGGCTCACTTCCCGACCCGGATCAGCTCTGGACTTTTATTCAAAATGCAAGCAAACTGGAGCCGGGTGTTACAATCTCTGACTGCGGTTCTGGTCACCATGCTGTCGACGCAAAGATCAGGCGTGAGTCCAGAGAGATCCTGGTTGGGGGCCGCTAACTGAACGAGACCTAGACTTCTACGAACTGTATCTCGAAAACTGCCATTGCAGACATCTTTTCCTGGGGTTGAATCGCCAATCGGAATACTTCAAGATCCTCGAGACTTACGCCGACGATGATTACACCAAGTCAAAGACGTCGCTTGTGCGGTTGGGCGGGGGAGCAGCCAATGGCTACAACCTTCCGTTCCATACGGTCGACTTCTCCGTCATTGAAGCTGTGCCGCAACAGGCCACTTCCCTCTCCGCGACCAACTTTCCGGTCAACGGAACTGCCAACGGAACTGCGAATGGCTCGTTCCTGGCTCGGCGATATGAGGACCCTAGTACGCGATTTTCGACAGACTCCCTTAGCAATCCGAAGCCTTTGGTCCAACTCCCTCCGCCCTCCCGCCCCGCGACCTTCGCTTCCAACACCGAAAATCCTACCACTCGGGCCATCGAGAATATGCAGATGCTACCCGCCACAATTTCACAGATGCCTGCCAAAATACCTGCCGAGGTAAATGGCGATATGGACAATTTGGATGGCTCGAGCTCGGTTGGCGTTGTCAAGCTCGACACATCTTCACATTCTTCTCGGCAATCGAAAGCTGCGGAACAGAGCTGGGAGAATGCACAAACTAACAGTTACGCACCCCCTGCCATCGCAGCTCCGTGGGGAGAGGAAAAGACGAAGGTCGGGCAGGTTGTGGAGGACGAGCCCGTATTGTGGAGGAGATCAAACAACAACCACTCTCGAAGACAAAAACAAAACCACCGAAATAAAGAACGTCCTTACAGTGCTCAACCGCCAAGACAGCCTCCTCGCCATTTTGAAGGGTCGTGGGATGACATGGTTCAAAGTGAGCAGTCCAAAGCACCAACCCAAGTGTCGTCTCCATCGCCCGCACCTGCAAGTGCAACCCTTTTGTCGGCTGCAACCAAATCAAACGACTTATCGCCAGCATTCGCCCGTCAGGCTTTGACAAAACTTGACCCAAACCCTCTAGCACGCCCTATTTGCTCTCCCATCGCTCTAAACAAGTTAGGGCAGCGTATCGACTTGAAGCTTCCGCGCGAGGCATCGGCTGACCACGAAGCTTTCGAATTGCGTGTCAGCAATCGACAATTATGCAATGAGCATCACATGCGAAACAATTGCAACGACCCACAGTGCCCGTTTGACCACGAGGAGATTTCGGATGGCATTTATCTTGCATTGCGAAATATAGCTCGCAGCAAGCCGTGCGGCCAGGGCGCCGAATGCCGACGACATGATTGCTATTGCGCTCATCATTGTCCCAACATTACAAAGTATTCCACATGTGCCAGGGTGTCGTGTCCCTTCCAAAAGAAGGGATTACATTCGATTGTCGACCTGGAAATTGTCGAGACGATTGAACCGCCAGAAAAGAAGACTCAGAAAGAAAGAGAATCGCTCCTGTGAGAGGGGTCCAGACCGCTTCAGGCAAGGCAAGGTGAGCTTGGAAAAGACTGCCAGAATTACGATTTCGGGAACAGGGAGAAAAGGGAAATTTGTGATTGGGAAGGCGGGTGTTTTTTTTTTCTTCTCGATTTCATTGGGCGTGGCTGTACTCTTGCACTAATCACACCTTGTTTGAGCTTTAATGAGTTCTCGAGGATGCAAGAGAAGCGCGTGGTGGCATAAAAAGACCGCTAAAGGCTCTGGGGAGGCTGCCGTTTGTGTCGCGTCGTCAACCACAATATTGTGGTAGAACGGCACCAGCGGGCTACCGTGTATGTAGCAGGACCTGTCCTTGGTCTCAACACAGACTAGACTGAATCAATTGGCCACGGAGTGTCTGCCGGACGAGCCCCTCACAACGAGTCGTTTATTCGATGCGAATTCCACACCTTCAGAGCTAGACTAGAAGAGCGAGTCAGCGAGTGTATTTGCGACGAACCCGTCGACTGAGCGCCAGAACCAGCGGGCAAGTCAGGAAAATTAGTGTAGAGAGTGGAGGGTAGGTGGACCAACCTTATAAAGGGACATGTGATGATGCCGATCATGTATCGGCAGTGACCAGGTAGCCAGGCTGTACTTGGGAGGGCTTTGCTCGGGTATAATAACATGGCGAGCCAGATTCCTCTCATGCACAGATCGTCTGAGATGGTGACCCGAGGCTGCGTGGTCGGGCAACACCACTTAAAGACCAGAGGCTGTGTCCTGGGAAATTGACTGCTCTCGGGCAGTAGTTGTACGGTTCTTTATGCGGAGACGGTG